CTAATACATCTTAATAACAACTCTGAACAATGTCGGCCGCACAACATTGATCAATCCTGTTCATACAATATTGCATCAACCTGATCGTTTTTAAGCGTGCACTGGTTACTATAATAGTTTGACAAAGTATTGAGATCAGTACTATTAGTTTTGAATAGTGTTCTGGTTACTTGCAATGTCTTAACCTAAATGTATTTACAATATAACAACAAATATGAACAGTAACACTTTACATAACTGTGTATGTTAAACACACAGGAATATGCTATGCATATGTTGCATGCATCTTGATTATTAGTGTATTAGTTTTGTAATTTTTGCATGAAGTATGTATGTTTGATTTCTATTTTTAAAATAGATATATTAAGACGAAAACTTGTGTTGTAAACCCATACTCATTTGTATAAACTCTTCAAAGCTCCATGCACTCCACTAGTATTCAAGTATCCACTAGTATCCAAGGGTTAAAAATCTTAGTGCATTCTAGTTATATTTTTCTGAAAAAGTGCTGATGATTTTTCTTTTCAATGTAGAATCTTAGAGGACCATTGCAGCCTAATGATAGACAATGTCATGCAGTACCATTTAGTTGTTCATGCATGAAAATCAAAAAGAGGACTATCAATACATTTTAAATTTAATTATTGTTTTTTTATCTTAAAATGGTGGCAGAAGAAAATTTTTTTTTCATCAAATTGTTGGGGGTGGCTGTGGCAAAAAAAAACAAAATTGTGTTTGGTTCTTGAAATTATTTGAGTTGTTTGATTTACTATCTGGCAGCAGTTTGATTTTCTGACTGGAAAAGCAACTGGAAAACTAGTCATTAGAAGGGAAGTTCACATTCACTATATTAGTCTGCTGGTTTGCCTTCAAAATATTAGTACGTAAATCTATGATTTTGGAGGCAATATCCAGCTATATAAGGATTATTACTTTCTTATAGTTAAAAAGGAATATAGAGCTTTGAGATGGTTCTTAACAGTTGTGAAAACTTGAAAAAGTTGTGAAAAAATTACTTGGCAGATTCTCCATGCATGCAAGTGCATAGCTTGAACTTGCTTAACACATGCCCCAGTGACAGCCTCCGCATTACTACACTCACGCTCAACTGCCAAACTCTCAATTGCCTCCTGAACTTTTGTCAAATAGTTTGACGGCTGTTCAACGGCGTTTTCGTTGACTTAACACTTCTTCCAACGAAAATCGCACATTTGAAACAGCCGCCATGTTTACTTAATGAAATATTCTTGGGCGGTACACCACTGACCCAAATGAACGTGGCGCAAACATTTTGAGGGTATACCGCATGCCATATTGAATGGCAAACTAGCGATTTCGCATGCAAAAATGCCAAGCGTGGACCAATCACGACTGATAGATGTATGAAATCATATAGATGTGTGTCGTGATTAATTTTATGCATTTCGTACGGCTCTTGAAAAGAACGGCTGTAGAACTAACACGTGCTTGAGGCGTGCAACACGCTTCAACAAGGCAAACTTTTTAATTTCGCCGTGCTGAACTTTAATTTAAGTACAGTGCATATTTGACTCAGACGCCCAGCTTCTCATTCGTCTAATTCATTATAATTAATTATTAAGTTCGGCTGAGAAGCACGTACGGCGTCTGAACCGGGACTCAAAACAACAAACCTATATCGCGGGTAAAGAGATAAGGCAATGAATAATAAATAATTATAGTGAACTAATTCTTAATTATGATTTACTATTTATTACTTTGGAAATGCGTAAACCATCAGATATAGGTAGAAAGCCATATATAGCCGGTTTTGTTTAGTAAATTATAAAATCACTTTCAACTTACGTGAAAAGATCGTGCCTACTTTACGCCCTTTAAGGCTATAACGTTTTTGTCGAGAACATTAAATATGGCACAACTGTCATTATTGAATTAAGACCCAAATACTTATTAAATATTTTTATTATTCGTGTATATAGTGCCAGCGCTGCCTATATGAATATACAAGTTTTAGACCCGTTTCAGACATTGAACTTTTCATGTGCCGAACCGACTGACTTAGCACTGACTTAAACAAATTTTTGCTGTGCCGTGCCAATAAATTGAGTGTAGTAAAAACGGGGCTTATAGGTTTGGTATACGGTACATATAAGGCAAAACAATGAATCAAAATTTGGTATTTAACATATATGGTTGCGTATAGTATAACTTCAAAGATCATCCACTTCATTAATAGGTATAAATCTTTATAATGCATAAATTTTTGGATTGCTACCCTATGCGATTTTAAAATGGGCGAAGTTATGGTGCCTAAAAAATTAATCCCAAGACTAAGTCAAAATTTGCCACATGAATGAATAAAAGGAATCGTGTGAGGTATAATATTGGGTTTTCTATGAGAAACACATCTTTTTTCTTTGTGCATGCGCATGCACAGTCATGCACTGATCGTATAACAACTTAGTCACGTATTGGTAATAAAAAGCTTTTTTGAGTAGCTATAAGTGTTGTTATAAGTGTTGCCATGCAAGAACCTCATTTTGACTAAACACACTGCTTTATTTCATATCTGGTGAAACGTCCGTAGCACATGTAGGTTTTGTATCTTTTGTGACTGACAAAAGTTGTTTGCGCGGCCATAGAGGTTTGGGCTAAACATGTACCTAGATTACACCACGAAATACAAATGTACGTAAGATCGACCACCAATTAACCAGTAACATTTAGCACATTTTGCGCGCTTAGATATACTTTGTCTGTTATTTTAAACATGTTTTCAGCGTTTTATCAACTTCATCTACGCATCAGGCCTATACCTTTAGAAACTCATTTAGAGTTGCTTTTTAATTTTATATATATATCTAAGCACCAATAGGTCTTTTTAAATTTCAATTTTGTATAAAATTCAAAATTCTTGACACGTTGATAAATCTACAAAGTTTTAAGTTGAATCGCCATAGTTGAACCCTATCGTTTAATCTGATTGCTTAATAATGTAAATTTCACTGAAGGTTTTATAATTTTTCATTTAAAATGGTGTCAGTGAGTACATCAGCGAGAAACGTTGTCATAGTGTCGACTCTTTGACGTTATTTTTGTAACATAAGCCAGACAAGATCAATATATTTGATTGGCTGTTGAGTTGTCGACAATATCTGCTTTCCTGCAAATTATAAAAGTTGTTTTTAGAGTAGGACAAGCAGATTTAGACAAAAAGATTTATGAAGATGTCACCATAGAAATCCTACCAAATCTTGCATGGGCGTTCAATAATACAATCAACAATTTTGCATGCATGAGTGTATACAGTATATGCGCATCATTTTTTCAGCGGAAGCACATTCCTTGCAATCGTAACATCTAGTTTGTAATTATTACAGCAATTATTACCCGTAATTATTATGAGCCGCGCACGAAACAAAACAAGATCGGATATCAAAAAGTCACACTCAATAGTCAAGTTTAATTTATGTTTTATTTTGAATGTAAATCCACACACGCTTAATCGCTACTGTACTTAACATCTACTCATTTTTTCGGCAGGGGCATGTTTTTTTGTTCACTGCAATCCGAACTGATGCAGGTTCAGATTGTGAACACGGACTCACAAATTTTACATCAAATACAGAGTTGCTTAAAAGAAACTGTAACCGCATAAGCTTGCATTGTATAACACGCTTTTTAGTGTAATTCGCTGATATTGAAAACAACTGATGCACACGAGTGTATATCCATTATTATAGAAACTTGCATAGTTATTATAGAGGCTGTGTTATGCGAGGGAATCTAATAGCGTTCTGGGGCCGGTTGTATGAAAGCCAGAAAGCGCTATCCACCGGATAGTGTTTTTTTCAATCGCTTTAAATTTCGCCCCTTGTTTGCTATAACTTTGAATAAATCTTAGTATTCCTAAATCAAGGATCCTCTTTAATAATTGCAGGTCCTAAATATGAAATTTTATCGCTTTTCGAGCATTTTTAGAACGGTTCACAATTAAATCCCAATCTGGTGGATAGCGCTATCCGGCCTGGCCCCTGTTTAAGAATGTTGAATGCCATCCAGTATGCTTAGGAAGCTTAGATATTTTCAGTTTTATACTTTAGTTGATTTAGCTAATTAGATCTCCTGAAATAGTGATTCCACATTTGATTGATTCAACATTTTTACTGATATATTTTAAAATAATGAATCTCGTTCTGAATTAAAAGCGTCGAGATGTTTCGGTACATTAAAAAATTCTTCCCATATTCCACCAAGTATAAAATTTGCTTTTCAAATGATGCGGTGAACTCAAAAGATGCAAACCACATTAAATAATCGATATAAAGTGATAAATGTTTGCATAATCAAGTCATGATCAAGATCTAGTAAGGAAAGTTCCTTTTTTAGCTACCCATGCATACATACATGCGCCGGAAATTTCCTAATTTTGTCCCTGCTCTTCTTCCATTTTTCCTCTTAGGGAAATTCGGGTGTATTCACAAAAGCACAGAAATTTGAATTGCGTGAAAAACTTTGAAATTGCGTGCATGACTTCTTTAAATCCAATCTTGTTTATTATTTCAATGAGCGGGATGGCGGGTACAATAAGTTGCACTTGAGTTTTATTTTAAGCTTTTTATTGCATCGCAACAGCCATTTACCGCTGTCCTTCTAGGCTAAGATCTATTATTTCATCACGCACTGCGAAATGCAACAGCTTCTTACACAATGAGAATTCAAAGGGAGTTTGTATGGGAGGTCCTTAATCCGTTGAAATAAGTGCAACTGCACGGGACACGAGTGTAAATACTTATTTGTTTGAGTAATATAGCCAGTTGTCAGTTGGTTAGTTTAGGCTAACCAGTTGTCAGTTGGTTAGTATAGGCAAAAATGCATGCTACTACCTAAAATTCTTTTGGTTCCTATACTGTATACGAGCAGTATTTAATCAACCTTAAAGTCTATTACGTATAATTATGCATTCAATGTTAATCACTTGGCTTATGAAATATTCAGCACATAAAGAATGTGAACACGGCCTTTAATCTTTCATTCATCTTCTTATTTTGTGGACATAACATCGCGGAGATCTCTTTTTTAACATGACTTTGGAATCCAACCTCAACCAGTTTTTCCTTATTGTAAATGGCTTCATTGTACTCTGTAAGTATTTACCCGAAACCACATTTGCTCAATTCGTGCAAAATTTGAAGTTACATTTAATTGTTCTGTACCATGCAGCATTAGGATATGAGGTTATCTTCCAATATAAACAACTGTGGAAGCTGTTTTTTTATCGATAGTTTCATGCAGCTTCATTTATTGTATTTAATAATAGAGCCATGCAACATCTAGTATATTAAAATACCAGTCTTGTACACAGGACGATTTTCTTTTGAACGGCGAAGATGGTCAGATCGGTCATATTCATATTTGAATTGAAATAAAGTATTTCCTTAAGAATATAGCGGTATAAAACTCTATTTTCCGTGCTAAGCAGGGGCCGGTTGTATATGAAAGCCGGATAGCGCTATCCACCGGATAGTGTTTTTTCAATCGCTTGTAAATCACCTGTTGTTAGGTATAACTTAATATAAATAGTTAGATTAAATCTTAGTATTCCTAATGCATCCTAATAATCCTCTTTAATAATATTTAATTCCAAAGCCGAGATTTTATTGCTTTTTAAGCATTTTTAGAACGGTTGAAAAAATCACTATCCGGTGGATAGCGCTATCCGGCTTTCATACAACCGGCCCCAGATGTAAATAATCATATACTTGAATGCAAAGTTTTTGAAATACTCCAAAATATCAGTTATCTGCCTGCACTGAAATACAACAGGACCGATCTTCTCGTTTTCTGCGTATAAAGGAGAGCCCCAAAGTCGGGTAGAGCTGCTGCAGTGAAAAGAGGGGAAATAAACTCATCGAGAGGAAAGCATTTTTTGTTCTCCGCATAGTCAGAATATAAATAATTGTTACTATACGAACTAAAAATATTCGTCAACTGTTATTATCTGTTTGTTACGTGGCGGTAAAAGGTTTTGACTGCTCACTATAAGCCATGCACCATATTTTAAAGGTGTAAAGTTATTAACTTTGTGACCCAGACCTTATTCAGAACCTACATGCCATGTCTATGATTGCATGTTTTCATTGTTTGAAACTAAGAAATTAAAAGCATTCATAAATACAGCGAAGAAAAAATTTCCGGCAGAAGTGAATTTTCACATTTCTCGTCAACAGGATGTTCAACTTAACCCGCAAAGAGAAACCCATAATTGTCGTGCATGTGCATGAAAATCGAAATTCTAATTTATTGTGATGGTTCTTAAGACTAAAATCCTGAGGCATAACGTGTTATATTGTAAGTTCATTCCCCTATATATGCAAACAAATCATGATAATGATTATCTAAAATGGATTAATTTTGTGTTGTTTCAATTTGCCGCATATTCTTCTTTAAAACAAATGAGTTTTCAAAGCGTTCAGAATTTAGTTCCAAAGTCCATGTTTAGAACGCGTGAACAGATGAATAGCAAGAAGTATTTAGTATTAATTTATTTTACTTATTTCTTTGTTCTGGGCACGCATGATGGGAATTATTGTCAGATAGGCAGATCTTGATACAAAGATACACGTCTTCAGGACTGCAGCTGCTGTTTCGATACTTCATGCAAGTATTTCACTATTTAGTTTTTTTTGTGTTATCTATGTTATATAAAAAGCTACCATGCCATGCATGTTTGTAACAGTGATTATTTACCTTAGGGCATTGGTTACAAAAACGTTTAAATTGAATTGCCTAATAAAATGAATATAGTACCCTTTGTTGTAGAACATGAAAACACTCGCCAGTATGCACGCAATACAACATATCCATATTATTATTGTGATCATAGTGCTATTTTTGAGTATATAACAATGATTGCGATATTGCTACTTTAGGGCAATTTCCTTTATATGGTAGAAACGGCAAGAACACAGCAAAAAATGGGTACCCGTACCATTTTCGTCTGTGCTCGGCCCTATTGTATTGGTAGCCTGAGGACGAACTAAATCTCGTCTTTTCATTTTATCCAAATTGTGCCAATAAATTAAGTGTGTGTAAAAAGGCGCTTAAGATTAGGAACAAACAAATTAGCGGAGAATCAGTACCTGCCCCTAAATTGCTATATGTACATATACTTCTCCGTGCCTTCTATTGATTACCACCGACAGTGGTACTGCTTGTTTCTTTTTTTATCGAGCAATGTCTCTCAATTAAATAATCTCAAATTCCGCATCGATGTTATTGATACTTTGATGTACAAACATTTCCTGTTTTTCAGTATTTAGTGTCCGTTCACTCTGTTGTTATTTCTTTCTTTAGCAGTTTGCGGCTCATCTTATTTGGAATTGTATTCAAAATTTTCAATCAATTTCCGAGTAAAAATAACTCGTAAAATAAAGTCATTATGGGTTAATGATTAGGACAAAAATTTGATCAAACAAAAAAGTCTTACATTCGCTTGAGGTTGCAAAGGACTCAAAATTTACCACTTGAAAATTCCAAGTACCTGTTATTAAGCAGATAGATGACATGCTCTTTAAACATAATGATGTTGCATAACCTGCATGATGATGTAAGGTTTACATCATTAGGTCTCGCCCACTCCACGTGCAGAACCATCAGGAAGTCTAACGTTCTCTTTGCGGTTTCGAGCAGTTCACTTCAAAGAATATTAGTAAAACACCCACACACATGTACACACAACACAAATGTTTAAAGAATAACAGCGTTCTCTTGATAAACGAGTCGAGTTTTTTAGACAACTGTAACGTCTTTCCCAATATTCCTAAAAACTGCAATAAATGTTGCTTTTTACTGTACTGCATATCTAAAATACAAGTTGATTTCATTTATTGCAATTCAGTTATACTCAGTATATTAAATCAGTTGTCGAGTAGCCTGCTGCATTAATGACAGTACTATAGTTGCTTAATACTGTGGAACTTTATGTGGGGTTCTGAAACTTCAATGGAAGACAGAAATTTCGCGAAGTCTGCATGCCTTTACAATTAACTACGCTAGTTCAACGCCTACGGTACGGAAGTTTTATGAGTCAATATGCTGCAACGAAAAAATGTTATATGTTGGAGTACAAAATACCTACATATATTCTTATATAATTATATTGTAAACAATATTATTGGGAAATCGATTACTTTCTACTCAATTTTTTTTGGGTCATGCACCCATACTTCCCTAAAAGACTTTAATTTGTCTCCCTCAAATCTTTTGCGAACTCCACTCAAGTTTCAGGCGATGCATATAATTATCATGACAGTGTTACAAAAAATTTATATGTGACAGGGGCTGCCCCGGCCCCCCACTGTTCCCTGTGAGCTCCTTTGAGAGAAACCATGCCTATTAAAATCCCTCAGTAAGAGTGATGGTAGTGAGGTTCAGATTTGACTTCCACTAGACACTTTCGACAAACCTCTCTCTGATCTATTTCGCTAAAAATCGATAGGTTGATCTGATAGTTTTACCGAATTTGATTGGTTCGTGTTTCTTCAATGGTAAACTGGGTACTGGTAGATTAATGAGTTAAATCTAGACCCCGCTCATTCAATTTTTAGTTATGCAAGCTGGTTTTGCATTCCTTGAAGCTGGTTCGGTAAGATCAAAGAACACAACAAACATCTTGATCAAGAACACATTGGATTTATGTAAGTAGCTACTGCTTCCAATTATTCTGAGAATACGTGCGTGTTTCGCCAGATTTCTCATGTAGTTCCTAATGCATGTTGTATACAGTTATTAACAGCAAAACCTAAAGTAGTTTATTCAAAAAATCAATCAACTTAAGAGGCTATTATCACGGACAGTTGTTGTTTGAACTTTCTGAAAACGAAGGTCCAGAGACCGTGCACTTGGGTTCAAATTGTCCCAAACGCAACATTTTATAATAATTCAAACAAAAACAAATATAGCAAAATATTGGAAAAAAAAAATTTTAAGGTCGAGTATAACATGAATATTCCGTTATATATTATTATCCATCTATAATATTATCCATCACTTTAGTCTGTGGCGCGACTGTGTATTGGTTAGTTGGATACTCATTTGCATTTGGCGGAGATGGTGATAAGTTTAAGGGAAATGGTGATGCTTTCATTGGTCATGATAACTTTGCCTTGTCTGGTCTTGATGAGAATGATTATGCGAAATGGTTTTTCCAGTTTGTATTCGCTGCCACAGCTGCCACCATTGTCAGCGGAGCCATTGCAGAGAGAGCTGAGTTCATCGCTTATCTTGTTTACTCTGCATTAATAACAGGTAAGAAATCATTGCTACAGATTCCAATTTTCTCAAAATCATCTTCTTTGCTATAGCTATAATATCACAAGTGCGACGACAATGCCATTTCACACTGTATGCCCAAATAGAAAAGCGAGGAAACACAAACCAAACACATTACACAGTTTTGCAGCTCAATAATATACACTTAATGTATGCTCCCGAGGGAAATAGTAAGTTTTGTTTTCCCGAGAGTCTGAATGTTTCCCGAGACGAAGTCGAGGGAAACATTGAGACTCGAGGAAAAACAAAACTCACTATTTCCCGAGGTAGTGTACATTAAGTGTTTTGTTATATAGGAACGAAAACATACATGTTACACAACAATTTCATTTAAAAATCATTTAGAAACCCACTTTACTTTGTTATGACATGAAGCGGGCAACAATTTTTCACTTGTTTCCCTGGCGGGAAACATTGCATTTATTTAAAGTCATGTGACTACGAATGAACCAATCACATTTAAAATACAAAGCACTTATATAATAAGGAAACTTATTTGTGTCAATTAATATATATGAATTTCCAAATTAATTCTTACATGTACAAGAGCAAGAGCAATAAACCACTCAAAGGTTGTCTATACCACAGTTGTTTGTGTTCACAGCCCTGAACTAAGTTTGGGTACTGCTCTTTGCTCATTCACTTGTATGATTTAAACCAGGGATTTTTTCACTATTTCAATCTTCAATGAAGGTTTGGTCCTTCATTTTATTAATTTTATATCTATCTCAATGTACTATAATTATATAAGCATGCATAAGTTATAAAATTTATGAATATGAATTATGGCTTTCCATAATTGAATATAAATTATGCTTTCATCTGTTGCTAGTGAACTCTTTTCGACTATTTTAAAATGCGGTTTCTCATCTATCATCTACAGATTCAGTACAGTTTTGTTTACCTATTCTCCTCGACTTATCTGACAAACATTCTTTGGAAACGTTGAACTTCCTGCTAACAACATAACATGCATCGCCTTTTTCTCTGCAAAAAGGATTTTTACCAATGGATCGTATTAATTTATTTCTGGTTTCTATGAACTCTTTTCAGGTTTTGTTTATCCAGTCGTCACTCACTGGGCGTGGTCAGATCATGGTTGGCTCATTAAATCACTTGAAGACGATGACATTGTGTACCAAGATTTTGCCGGGAGTGGTGTAGTTCATATGGTTGGTGGTATGCTGGCATTAACTGGTGCTATCGCTGTAGGACCTCGTATTGGTAGATTTGAGGGCGATGATAAGACATTACTTGGCCATACTGTACCGGTATTTATATTTTAGATATTCCATAATTCCTGTGTCCCTTGAAAAGACAGCAAGTTTTCCGCCTGAATTTTCAGTTATTACGTTTTATTATACACTTTGCTGAGATACATTTAACAAAATTCCAACTTCTAGATGGTCTCCCTTGGCGGTTTCATTTTATTTTTTGGTTTCCTCGCATTTAATGGTGGTTCTCAGGGTTCGATTTCCAAAGATGGTGATGCAGCAGTTGTTGCATTAGCCATTGTCAACACTATCTTGTCAGGTATGTTTATTACGCCAGACACTGTCAATATTACGTGAACATCATGCAAAAAATATTCTTACAGGCATTCAATTGCAGTCTAAAATATAGGTTTAAAGGTGATTTTTCCATAGGCAAACGTTGCTCCAATTTTTCTGTCTTGCAACCCTTCATCAGGGTGTCTACAACTTTCATTTTCAAATTTGACAAAAATTAATTTCCTCATTTGCCTATGAATCCAACAGTTTAGTTGCAGTTGTACATTTTACATTTCCCTAGTATAACTTACAGTTTCATAATTTCTGAGCAAGTAATTTTTTTGTAAACTCTAGGAGCTGGAGGCGCCATTATGGCAATGATTATTAAGCGAATAGCGACAGGCTTCTTTAACGGACATTGGAGCTTGCTGACAACCATAAATGGAGGTCTGGCAGGGATGGTAGGGAATTTTTATATAGCTATTGTACAACGAAGTTTAACCAATTAATATTTAATTATTTCGATATCATATTTGACATTGATTGAAATTTTGATTGTACCTAAATTCGCCATCATTAAGGTTGTATTTGTGCTGGTTGCAACAACGTTCATCCTTGGGCTGGATTTGTGATTGGCCTTGTTGCTGGTGTTGTGTTCATGGCGTGGAGCTTTCTGATTGAGAAAATGAAGATTGATGATCCTCTCGATGCTGTTGCAGGTATGCGGGCTGAATGCAGCCTAGCTATGCATGAATCTTTACACTATCTGCATGCTGAATATTTTTTATATACTGCAGACACTGAAATATTAAAAATATAAACTAGTAAGAAATATCCCATATCCTGTTTATAATGTCCTTTTTCTCACTTGGAAATTAGGAGGACAATAAAATCTTTGGTCTTCGTCTCTCTAGTAATCGTGAAAAAATTTTATCCAAGATTTTTATTGCTTTTAAAAGCAAACGAGGAAAAAGTTGCGAAAAATCGTAGTTTTCTCAGCAAAGTGAGCCATATCTGGTCGAAAAACTGCGTGGCTTCATGCCTTACCAATTAATATATTTAAAAATCTTACAGTACAATTATTTCCATATTAAAATTAGTACATTACGGAGCTGGTTTTTGGGGCGTGATTGCTGTTACTCTCTTCAACAAAGAAAGTGGTGTGTTCTATGACTGGGATGAGCTGGCGTTCAAAAGACTGGGGTGGAATTTACTTGGTGCTATTGTAATCTCGGCCTGGTCATTGATTTGGGGCTTAATAATTTTTATGTCTCTTAAACTCTTTAAAATTCTTCGCGTACCTTCTGAAATCGAAATTAAAGGTAAATCTATATAATTTATTTTACATAAATTTATTAATGATAAACTTTACTTTTTTATAACGATGCATTTTGCTTCTGTCCTTCTTCTGTTTACATGGAGCGAGTTATCCCGGCTAGGCGAGGTGAAAGGGTCGGCGTTAGATCATATCGAACTAACGTACATGACGTCATAAATTTTGCGATAACGGAAGTATAATAACTGAAGTCTTACGTGAAGTCTTTCTAGAGCTGGTTCATAAAAATGATAAAATGAAAATGGCGATGAATGATGATAAGTTTATACATTTATAAATGTACACGAAAGTGTAAATGTCTGTTACCCTCATACCCAGTATAGGAGTGATCATATACATATGTAATAGTATCTCTGGCTTTACCTAAATTACGGTTAGGTTATAGGGTTATTGAAAATTTTATGACGTCATGTACGTTAGTTTGATATGATCTAACGCCGACCAGGTGAAAGCTGCATATAATGAGAGACTGGTCAGGTTAAGCCTTTGATCTGAGGCGCTTCTTACCTCGCCTAGCCGGGATAACATGTAAACAGGCCCTTAGATGAGTGTCTTAGCTCATCGTCCGTTCACTCCAAATCTCTGTATAATTATAGTGTCCTTTAATGTACACATTAAATTCAAACAGAAAAACAATCTAACCCTGACAGAAATTTGAAGGCCCGTAAAGCGCGTAGCGTATAATGGCATATGCGTAAGTATGCCTAGGATTAAGGTTGAGGTTCGGCCTATTTTCTACTTCCGTTCGAGCTTCATCGTCGTAAAACAGCATTTCTTTTGGTCGACATGAACAATCGTTACTGGTTCGCAAATGCCATGCATAACAATTGACAAAGAAGAATTAAAAAGTCTTTTTTAACATTCAAGGGCTTGATGTCCCAAAACATGGTGAACCAGCCTATCCTTATTCGAGTTATGGTGATGGATGGGGTGAAAATCCACCGAAAGTGAATGGTAACAGTAATGGAATTGGTCTCAGCAACCGCGCTGGAAGCTATGACATCAGCGTTACAACACATTGAATTGCATTACATTTATGAGTTACATTATGTCATTAGAATTGTAATTAATTGATCATAAGATAATTATTCAAGGCAAAACGACACTGTTATTTTAAATAAAACAATAATAGCCGGGAAGTGCAGGTTGTGCTCGAAAAAGTGACACAACGCATACAACGAGGAATTTTCTTTCAAACTAATCGACAAATTTGTATACATTTCTGAGGAGTATTAAGTATGCCAGTCAGAATGCTTATTTTTGATACGTCTAGTATAAAATGGTAAATATTGTACGTACCTTCTAACTGCATTAATTAGTCAATATCATTTTAAGCATTCAAAGAAGATCATCACAAAAAGAGACGCGGGTGAAGTTTACAGTTTATATTATATTTTTAAAACATTTATGAAACAGGTTATTCAGTAATGCATTTGCCACAATACAGTTGCTTTTTTATAATGTTAAATAGCTAGAAAGAATCATCTTTATCAACTAAATTTAACTTTGCAATACACACGAAAAGATGCGCTTATGTCACAATACAACTGCTTTTTTATTATGTTAAGTTCTCTGGGTAAAGTTATCTCATGTAAATTACAAGCATTTTTGTTGAACGTTACAGCGAAATTTGTCAATGATTGTGATCATCAGCTTGCACTTTAAATGACAAGGTCGTATTGCGTCTTTTTTCCATTTTTTTTTGCTTCATCTTGTCTTCCTAATAAATTGTTCCGTAATTAATTATAAAATTTAATTTAAAGTTTATATGTATCAGTATTCTCTTTAAAGTTGACTTTTCACGAAAGATTCAGTATTGTATATATCAAAGCGGATATTAAATCTTCAATAGTTAACACTTATTTACTGCGAACGAAGGAAACTTTATGTTTTGTGGACCCGAGACCTTTCGATATTTCACGAGACTTCGAGTGAAATATCGATGGTTGAAGATCCACAAAACATAATGTTTTCTGAGTTCTCAGTAAACAGGTTTTTTATTATATACTACTCGTCAAAGAAACACCAAACTACAAGGTAAACAACGAAATAACTATTCATAAAAGGCATCATTTCAAATGGATAAAAGTTGTTATTTCCCAAGAGATAAGTCAGATAACACGTTATCTCACTCTGTAGGGGGTCGCGCTGGCGACATCAAAAATTCGTCACTCTCGCGTGATTCGCTTTCGACCAATGAAACGCTACGAACACCAAACTTTTACAATTAGTATATAATAATATGGGTTATTTGATAGCACACTCCCTTCATATGATCAAGCAACTGCGTAAAATATTAAGAAAGTGTAGCAAAAGAACTCAACCGAACGTCAAAAGATATAATAATACTCATTTTCAAAGAGGAAGTCAATCGACTCCGCACTATAAATGAAAACGTACAAATTAAACAAATAATTTCGCGCAAGTTCTCAAAAATGCACAGACAGAATAGTCTGGGGCTACTGTGCATGCATCGCATAGATTACATGGATTTCTCCAAGAAATCAAAAGGATTCTGAAAGATCTGCATTTTTATAGTAACAAAAAGAAACGATAAATACAGTTTAGATTATATTTCTAAAACATATATTAAACATGCATGTTTGTCAATAATGCATTTATGTATGGCACAGCCATAACTATGGTATTAGCAACTAAACTTAACTTTGCAAGTATCTTACAATACACACGACAAGAGTCTCGCTATTCATCGTCGTTCCTGTCACAAACGTTTATCCGAAAACTAGAACTCGAATCACTTCCCAAACACCTCCTGCGATAAAGTTTGGAGAAACATTCAAGACAAGCCCTGCTGCACACGAAAAGAAAACGAGCGAATATCGAAATAATTGCAAAGCATACAAGAAGAATAAGAATTGCCGGAAACATCCCTAAAATAAGAACTTGCAGCCATTTGAAAGCTTTGAAAACTGACACCAAAGGTCCCTCGATGTTTTGATGAGAACTAGAAATCACGGACCTAAACAGGTTGATCAGAGCTAAAACTATCAAAGACATCAAGGAAATTGACTCGAGGCTGTTCGAGAAAGAATTTCAAAATGGTTTAATTTTGAGATGAAGACAAAGGATGACAATGCAAGCAAGCGTCATGCAGAATAATCTGATGGATGGCTCGGTCACCACGCAAAATATTACAACCAAAATAAATCGACGAGCAATCAAAATGCTCTGCCAATACAAAGCTCCTCGCTTGCTCGTTTCATTTGGCTGTGCGTATGGACCTAGAAGCAACTCTTTTAAAGCGCTCAAATTTTCGCTATCCTCGGCATGTTCGTCTTCAGATCGACAAACGATGCGAAAGAGCCTTTGAAACAAGAACGACAGAGGACAAACAACAGCTAGGAGGAAATTTCTGACGGTTATTTTATCGTTGTGAAGCTTGAACGGAATCCAAGCAAGAACGAATATGAATGGAACGACAAAGATGCCATTGAAAATGAAAGATGCATATTGCCACCATTCGTAGCATAAGACGTTTCCATTGTAGAACCATCTTAGCTTGCCTGCAACGGGAACACAGCGAATTAGCGAAATACTGACACTAGCCAGGGTGACGTAGCCAAGGAACACTGTTTTGACGCTGGCTTGAAGGTAGGGAGAAATGTTAGGTCGAAGAGAACCTCTCTTGCAACGAATGAGGACGTGGAAGGCATAAAGAAGAAAGATTGCAGCGAGCGTCCCAAAAACCGGAGCAACTTTAAAAAGAAGCTTTGTCTTTGGGGTCAGCCCTGGAATGGGGCAGAGAAAACCACGATTTGTTATAGCTGGCTGGAAGTTGAAAAAGCCAAGGACGGGGATGAGAAATTCAGTTTCAAAGAATTTGGCCAGCGAAGTCGACGAGAGAAGCAGTTGTGATATTTGGTAGAAGTAAAAGATGATCTCTAATAAACCCGAAAATTGTCTTTTATCTTGTTTTGTTTGCTCTGATGAAGACAGCGCGTGCGATGGATTGTTTTGTTCAGTGTCGTCCTCACGGACCAGATCAACGTGACGGTACAAAGCCGTTTGCCAGTTTGCGAAGCGACTGCCATCTATAAACGTTTTAAACCAAAAAATCTGTCGTAAAGGATATTTTATCATTGGAGGTTTGAAGACGACGAGAGCTGCCATTAAGAAGACATACACTAGAAATACAATCCAGAACCAATAGTCGTTGCATTTTCGTATTAAAGTACAGTTCGTTGACCAAAGAGCCTCTGAATAGCCAGATGAACACATCCCACACATAAAACCAATACGTTTACCTTGACATGCATTGTACTCAGTGCTGTCAGATGGAGGGGACCTGCAGTAGCCAAATGGACAAATGATGAAAGCCAACGTAGGCGGATTCGAACTAGTTTTATATCCCCAAAAGTTCGACTTTGATCTAATGTAAGGAACACATATTGCGCCTCGCGGGCATGGGAGGCACTGGAAACCAGAGTCTACATTCAATCCTCTCTCCGTTCCTCTTTCCAGAGAGTAGAAGTTATAGTCACATTTTCTGCATGAGAGAGCGAGTGCGCTGTCATCACGACTGTTTAGGCTGAAGTATTGATAATTAGTCTTTTCAATGGCGTGAGCCAAGGGACAGATACTTAGGGAAGAGTTATCCAGTGATATTTTCTCTGCTTTGGGTATCAAGATTATTGGTTCGTCGACAGGCTCAGTGATGCGATTAAATGTTGTATTATATATATCCACCTTTCCAGTGCTGTAAAATCGTAGGAAAGATGAGGCTATAAATTCCGTCCCGTCACTCGTAGTGATCTTCGGAATAGTTTGCCTAAACACACAATTGTTTAAACTCAGATCCGATTGACCACGATTACCAATTTGACCACCTTGGAACCGGGCAAAATTATTCAAAATTGTGCAATTTGTTAATTTCACTTCCCCTCCTGTCACTGCCAAAACACTGTTAACTAAAGCGACATTTTCTTTGAACAATACATTGGCAATAACAGCCTGAAAAGTCCGCTCAAACTTGTGCTGTTTTTGCGACTTATAACTGAACAAATTGGGGACAAATTCCATCTGTATTGCGGCTCCGGAATTGACCAAATTCCTGTTCCGGAAAAACGAGGAATCTTCTATTCTTAGCGAGGTAGTTCCTCCCAATGAGACATAAAGTGCTCGGTAGGAATTGTTCTTAAATGTTGTATTCGTAATCAGAATCTTTGAATTGATCAAAAACAGCAACATTGTGGCCGTCTTGCGGGAAATAATCCTGTTTGAATCGATGATAGAATTTTTGCATGTAAGTGAAGTTTGACCTATGATTGTTATTATTTCTCTCAAACCAATATTTTCCCGAAATACACAAGTGTCCAAAGTAACATTATTTAATCTAGATTTGTTTGAAGAAACGAAAATATTGCTATTAGCCATATTTAGGTTCCCGAGGAAACGCGTGTTTTTTAAAGTGACATTAACTAGTGTATCTTGAAGTCCCAAAAACAATACACCTAAAGCACCATCCCCTGACAGTTTGTTTCGAACGAAGCTAACATTGTTGCTGTGAAAATGAAAAGTTCCACGAACGACAATTGCTTGGACGATACCAGCATTAATGGCGCTATTTTCAAGAAAATTATCATCGTCAAGACGGACTGTAGCAGCATCTTTGATATAAAAAACCAAAACCCCGCCAATATTTCTCAGAAATGAACTGCCACGAACAGTTGCAATAAGGTTGTTGGCAAATATGGACACCACAAAACTGGCTTCCGTTACGATTCCTGAAAACGATGAATTAATTATACTTAGAAAGACAGAATTCTTCGACTCTGGTGTGTCTGGTTTACCAATAAATACCAAATCACCGTAATATGAAGTCGAAATGTTCTCAAAATTTGAATTTTGGATGGTTAGCATCGAAAATGATGCATCGATTGCAATTACACCACCCGAACTAATGTTTTTGCCATTACGAAAACTAGAATCATTAATGAGTACGTAACAAGCGGCAGTGACAGACACATCAAATACACCACCCTCGGAAATGATCGAGTTGTATCCGTCCAACTGAAAGTTTGAGATGTTCATATGCGCTGAACCTCCATTCACAGAAAGAAAAGCAGCAAATGTTTTGTAAATAAACCCGTGATCCAATGTCATGCATAATTCGTCAGTGAAAAGAGTAAACATGCTGTCATATTCGTCGCTGGGGTTTGTGTGACTATTTTCTTCCATCCTCAGTCGACTGACTGCAAGCTTCGTCGTTCCAAGTTTGTTCATGATTGAAAACATTCCGTATCCCTCAAAGACGTTTTCCTTAAAACTGCAGTTTCTCATTTCAATGCTGACCGTAGAGTTTCCCTCGCTGCAATTTAACAAAAGAATTGACGAAGGAGAATTACCATTTTGAAGGAAAGACGTATTAGTTACGTCTATAGAAACCATAATCCCAGTGTCGATCTCAATTCGTATGCACACTTTATTCTGTTGGAAGACAACAGAATCCAACGTCAGATCAAATTGCCGCAGGTTTAACACTTGAATACGCATGCAAGTAAATTTCGTCTCCGCAAATACGGCGTCCTTTGCAAATACTGAGGCGTCAAAAAAGCGAAGAGATGTATTGAAAAAGGTTAGTCCGAAGAAGTTAACTTGTACACCGTTCACTAGCTTAGTTCCGTTCACCAACCAGGGGTTTCCATGGAGACACGAGATGTAAACACGTGATCTGATGCTGACGAATGATATGCTTTTATTAATACGAATTCCCGGTTGTCCATGATCTTGGCTTTCACATTGGTAAGGGTTTTTGGCCGTTTCTTTGCCATCCAGGTAGATTACTGACCCTTCTGTTAGTTGTAGAATGCCATAAGATATACTGCGACAAGGGAATATTGGAGTACCGCAATTTGTTGCGTCATTCCCATTAAAACGCGATACATAAATTGAGTGTTGAGATGATTCACGACAAACTGAAATATAATGTCAGGATTAAACAAATGGTATATATTTGGTAATACCTATACACATAGGCTATATGATTTGCGTCTGCAGTAATTGAACTGGGCATGCAAAGATACTTCGATCCTCGAATAGCCACGCCGTATTCCTTGGTTTATTTATGTTTCACGTCTAAAGGATTCATTTCATAGTCCAAGAGCAAAACTATCATTTTTATTGCTGAATTGTGGTCAGGAAAGTAACATTGTATTGTTCATGCATTCTAACACATGCATAGTTCACGTTTTGCTTCTATCACCTAATATACTCTTCCCATTGTCGTCTGAAAATATCCTCGCTTTTGTAACCATTTAAAATGTATGCTGAATTTTTGCACGCTTATTTATAAAATTTAGTTGACAAATTGACGAGCGAATTCAGTCCCGAATCCTAGTCCTCGGTCAAACAAATCGTATGAAATCTCAGTAATTATCAGCTTTAAATGTATTGACAAGGTCCATTACTTAACATTTCGGTGTCATTTAAAAATACAAAGATATTTCTTACCAGATGAATATACTACTAAGATTGCATACAATCCTGCTAACCAGATCAACGCCATCTTCCGATTAAAACAAGCGAAAAAACAATGACGAGCAATCCAAGTTACAGTGATATAACCGACAGCTCAATTGTACAAAGCGTTTCTAGGAAAGTGTAAAAAAATTCATCATAAGCCGGACATCACAAGACATAAATAAATTCATTTTCAAACTGCAAGTCCGTTGTGCCCTTATATTTTCAATTTTATTTTTTGTTTTGTTTCCTCTTCATAATAAAGTGTTCCGTAATTAATTAAAATTAAGTATTTATTTATCTATCACAAAAGATTTAATATATGGCGATCTTTGTTTGTGACGAACATATCATTATCGATCTGTACTGCACATGAATATCAAAGCGGATATTAAATCTTGAATAATATGGGTTGTTTCACTTATTTGATAGTACACTCTCTTCATACGATCACTGAGCAACTGCGTAAAATATTATATGACTTCACATGCATAATTTCATTCTAAGCCATGGGACTGCAAATACGGCACCAAAACGGTGAGTTTCGTTTTATATTTTAATTAAGGCACTTGGTTGATTGATTTATTCATTTATTTATTTAGTGAATCTCGCCAAAAACGTACAAACATAAATATTTGACGCAAGTTCTCTGTCACGTTTTCTGAGATGCACAGACATGATTTTTCTCAAAAATCAAAACAATTTTAAAAGACGAACTGAATTCGTATAGACTACAGTATAACAAAAACAGACGCGGGTGAAGTTTACAGTTTATATTTATTTCCAAAACATTTATTAAACAGGTTTCTCAATAATGCATTGTCACAATACAGTTGCTTTTTTATAATGTTAATTGGCTAGAAAGAATCATCTTTATCAACTAAACTTAACTTTGCAATACACACGAAAAGATGCGCTTATGTCACAACACAACTGCTTTTATATTATAATTTTATTAATTGCCAATTGGGTACAAAAAATCAACTTTATCAACTCAACTTAATTTTGCAAGTATCTTACAGTACACACGAAAAGAGTCTCGCTATTCATCATCGTTCCCGCCACAAACGTTTATGCAAGAACACTAGAATTCGAATCAGGTCGGAAACGCCTTTTGCGACAAAATCTGGAGAAACATCACGGATCTAAACAGGTTGATATGACCTAAAACTATCAAAGACATCGAAAAAGGACTCGAAACTTTGAAATGGTTTAATTTTGAGATGAAGGATGAAAAGGTAAGCAAGCGTCATGCAGAATAATCTGATGGATGGCTCGGTCACCACGCAAGCCGCGATTACAACCAAAATAAATCGACGAGCAATCAAAATGCTCTGCCAATACAAAGCTCCTCGCTTGCTCGTTTCATTTGGCTGTGCGTATGGACCTAGAAGCAACTCTTTCAAGGCGCTCAAATTTTCGCTTTCCTCGGCATGTTCGTCTTCAGATCGACATACGATGCGGACAAGCCTTTGAAACAAGAACGACAGAGGACAAACAACAGCTAGGAGAAAATTTCTGACGGTTATTTTATCTTTGTAAAGCTTGAACGGAATGCAAGCGAGAACGAATATATGAATGGAACGACAAAGATGGCATTGAAAATGAACGATGCATATTGCCACCATTCGTAGCATAAGACGATTCCGTTGTAAAACTATCTTAGCTTGCCTTCAACTGGCACATAGCGAATTAGTGAAATACTGACAGTAGCCAGGGTGACGTAGCCAAGGAACACTATTTTGACGCTGGCTTGAAGGTAGGGAGAAATTTCAGGTCGAAGAGAACCTCTCTTGCAACGAATGAGGACGTGGATGGCATAAAGAAGAAAGATTGCAGCGAGCGTCCGAAGACCGGAGCAACTTTAAAAAGAAGCTTTGTCTTTAGGGTCAGCCCTGGAATGGGGCAGACAAAACCACGATTTTTTATAGCTGGCTGGAAGTTGAAAAAGCCAAGGACGGGGATGAGAAATTCAGTTTCAAAGAATTCGGTCAGCGAAGTCGACGAGAGAAGCAGTTGTGATATTTGGTAGAAATAAAGGATGATCTCCAACAAACCCGAAAATTGTCTTTAACTTGTTTTGTTTGCTCTGATGAAGACAGCGATGGATTGTTTTGTTCAGTGTCGTCCTCAGGGACCATGCAGATCAACGTGACGGTACAAAGCCGTTTGCCAGTTTGCGAAGCGACTGCCATCTATAAACGTTTTAAACCAAAAAATCTGTCGTAAAGGATATTTTATCATTGGAGGTTTGAAGACGACGAGAGCTGCCATTAAGAACACATACACTAGAAATACAATCCAGAACCAATAGTCGTTGCATTTTCGTGTTAAAGTACAGTTCGTTGACCGAAGAGCCTCTGAATAGCCAGATGAACACATTCCACGCATAAAACCAATACGTTTACCTTGACATGCATTGTACTCAGTGCTGTCAGATGGCGGGGACCTGCAGTAGCCAAACGGGCAAGTGATGAAATCCAACGTAGGTGGATTCGAACTAGTTTTATGCCCCCAAAAGTTCGACTTTGATCTAATGTATGGAACACATACTGCGCCTCGCGGGCATGGGAGGCACTGGAAACTAGAGTCTACATTCAATCCTTTTTGAGGATGTCACAATTTTGTAAGTTTAGAATGCTATTGGCATGCACCACAGAGGTTGTATATCCCACAAATATATGCTGATATATCACTGATTGTTGCATGGTTTTCTTTCAAATATACGCATAATACTAACTGTATAGTTTTTTTATGGCTATTATTTTTTTGTGTGGTAATTTCTCCGCCATTCTGTCTACACTCTACACTCAACATTGATAACTAATGTATTAAACGACATAACTTTTTTGTGTAAGTTTAATATCGCTGTAAAATCATTAAATAATATGTATTTGGGAGCTACGTATGAGAGGGTTTTTAATACAATATACACCATAACGCTGTATCACTGGTAAATGCAAATTGGGCTCACAGACTGCATGAATACCTAACATTGGAATTTGGAAAACATTCGCCTCCTCTGCAGGTATCTCTAAGTCTAATATATTAAAGAATTCATACCCGAGCCAAAATATTAATATTTCTTTAATAAATGAAAGATGCCTGCAGAGGATATCAGTAAAACATTTTGTGCTGGGCCTCTTACGCCCGTTTTATTCTGTAACTTCACTGAAAATGGCGATTTTTAAATATTGGCAGGCGTGATATCGCCTGTATTTACGGTACTTGCTTAGTGACGAACCATGACGAATCACACACAGCAGGAAACAATGATGGTATTTTGTGCTTAGGGACTAGGGCTAGAGCCTAGAGCAGACGCGAGATTGAGTATTCCCAATCTCGGGCCAGTTGTGTAAAACTCTTTAACTACATTTTGCACAGTTACACCCTAGTTAACTCAGAAATACACGACTCTAATTGGCCAATCCTGTCCTTAATTAGCTACAGTTAAAAAGACAACTGGTCCCAGGCCTTGTAAGCGCGCGGTGGTGAAGTGGAACATTTCATTGATTCATTCCGAAAATCGAAATGTCTTTAGTCTCCAACTTCACATGTCTTGTCGGGACACTCTATATATTTTATTTGTTGTCGAAATTTCTAATGTGGGTTTTTGAGGTGCTCAAGACAACATTTTTTGGAGGACACTTTGATATCACACGTTTTGGTGAATGGGCAGGTACGCTGGTACAGTATCTTAGATTGAAAAATATGGAGTAATATTTAATCAAGTCATATTATTGTTCTTATTAGAACAAAAAAATTAAGAAATTTAAGCTTATCATCGTTTGAGATGTTGGCAATGTGAACTTGTATTTTGGATTTGTACTTTTTACTTCTCTATGCATGATTAGGCTATATAACTGTGTTGTTGTTAATGTTCAATATCTGTTATATAATTTGCTTTATAATTATTATGTACTTGTAACATTGGATGATATTTCCATAAAACATGGGTGTTTGATAATACTTTATACCAGGAGAGAGACTATTTGCTATTTCATAGTATATTTACTATAATAATAACACTATTTTTAAAACTGTATTAATAGTGGTTACTGGTTGTACAGACGGCATTGGAAAGTCATATGCCAAACAGGTAGAGTACATACTGTGCATATAGTAAAATCATTTGGTAACAATTCATTACAATCCAGTTATATCTTTATTAAAATATTAACCCATATGGTTGATAAATCTTCAGTAGTTATACCGTATCTTATATGCATGTACATATCATGTAAATATGGTGGCATAGCCAGAATCACTAATTAGGGTGCCCATATTAATTCATATGTTCGTGTTACCAGACTGTAAGACAATCAAATTGAAACGAAATTAAACATCCGTAGCATGAATATATAAATATTGCCTCCTCCCCTAATTACATGCTGGCTATGCCACTGTCTAAATATGTCTCCTTGTAAAAATTCTTTTAAAATCCAGTTTACCATAAAAAAATCTTTCAGTTGGCTGCCAAAGGTCTGAATATCATATTGATGAGCCGAAGTAAGGAAAAACTTACCAGTGTTGCTGCTGAACTTGGTGAGTTGATAATAGTTTCACCCTACTTATATATAACATCAGGTATTTTCATTAAACATACATATCACATATTATAAACATATGCAGAATTGTTGGTGTTTCCTCTCAATGGCATGCCTTAATTTTAATAATATTGACTATGATATGAGGATTTGCCCCTACTATTTCTATCTACGTACCTTTCTCTTCAGAAAATGATTACAAAGTGAAAACAATGATAATTCAAGTCGACTTCTCCGGGGGTCATGAGATATATGAGCCAATTGCAGAAAAACTGGAGGGCTTTGAAATAGGTGTTATAGGTAAGGAAATCATACAGGCCTTTATATTTTTGACCGCACCCTTTGTGTCATGAGGTAAACACTTGAACATACATGACAATTTGACAATAATTATATGACAAATCATGAATGAAGGTATAGTTCATATACTGAAAGAAAAAGAGCTAGATAGACATATCTGATTAAAGTTGGCAAAGCTATAAAGGTGGGATATCACGTTTGGCAAATTTTTCAGAGCTCTTTGAAGAACTCGTTCAAGCATATAAAAGAATTATTGCAAAACGTTGTGAGATGAGGTCGTATGTTCATGAAACGTTTGTGCAGAGCATGGAGTTTGGTTCTAAACAATGACGATGATTCGAAATACAAAATTAAAAAAGTCAAATATATAAAGTGCTACATTTATCAGCAATATTTACCATTTTTTCTCACGATATGTCGTGTTCTCGCTTCCTGGACGCAACAGCGGTGAGACCTAAACTAAAGAAAATTAATATAATACATTCATTCGATTATCTCGGAGCCTTTGTTTATTAGGAAATCGTGGGCTCGCGCAATGAGATTGTCATTTGTCACGCGATATTCAACATTACATTAAACATTAAATAAATTAAATTATGCAGGAAGATCAACGTGACATGGTATACTGATGTCCAAAAAGGCATCCATATTTCGTATAGTGTATTATATTATAACATGGCGGTCAAAATGAACTGCTTAAAACCAGTTAAAATGCTCTCAAATGAACGTAACAACTGTCGCTGTAACAACATATACGAGTAAATATAGGCTTAATTACATCATTTACATGCTAAGCTATATGAAATATTAATATTTTGTTGATCCTCTTGGCTTCGATGTCGCCCCCCCAATCGTTTGAGAAACACCCCCCCCCCTCCACTGGCATATTGTATAAGTACCAATTACATCGTGACACACAATATCACAATATCAAGAATTTCACTCTGATTATGAACAACTTTGTAATTTTTTTAGTAAACAATGTTGGTGTCGCTGTTCCTTCTATTAGTTACCTCCACGAATTTTCAAATGAAGTTAGTTCCAATATGCTTAAAGTTTTCAGTTACCATTACTGTATATATATAGATCAGTGACTTCATCTAGCAAGTCAGAGCAGCAGGTCAGTGGAAGCAGCTTGAGTACCTTCAAAACTTCTAAAATGCTGAATCCATGCTTATTCAAATATTCATGTTTACTTAAAATCACCATGCAGACGAAACTTACCCGTGAATGAAGATAGTATTATACAACTGATCAGATTTGCTGTTATTTCATGACTTTATAACTTTTACTGCTACTTATAAATTAAATTCCTGCTATGTTTTTCAGGTTTTGTGGAAACAGATCAATGTGAATGTAATGTCTGCTGTCATGGTAAGTAATTCAGATGGACTGAAGGAATTAATAGTGCCTCACCTTACAAACGATTAGAGCAAGTTGACGAATTAAATAGTCTAATGGCTTTAGTTTAAGCCATATAAATTATATTGTTTTTATTCCGAAAACCTTTTTTAAAAAGGCACTGTGAAGCTAACAGCAAATGTCAAAAGTTTTTTTTAAAGGGTCTTGACTTTGGAGTGGAATCATACACACTAAATTCAAGCCAGGAACAGTTGAAGAAAAATTAGTCAACTATCGGTTCTCCGGCAGGAATCCAACCTACGCTTAAATTGCGATGCGGGTGCGCACAGAGCACTTAAGTGTAGGTTCAATTCCTGCCAGAGGACCGATAGTTGACTAATTTTTCCCAATTGTCCCTGGCTTGAATGGACGAGACTTGCCCTTCAGCTTAATTTTTTATTGAAATAACTGGAAATAAATCATCACAGCTAGAAATATCTTACTTAAATTAATGCAACTCCAAAGTTTGGCTGCGAAATTTTGTAAAATACGGAAAATATAGCCATGCGAAGTTTGCATATTTTGTATACTTTTGTATTACGTGCGGAAATTTGTAACTTAAACAGATTCAGATTAAACAGAGGATAAGTTTGATTTATTATGCATGGAAGCAAATACTTAATGCATAAGATATAGTTCAGTCTTTCACAAAATGTATTACAGTATTTTCGAGCTTTGGCTTATTCACCTAAACACTTTCCAACAACCTACTCTAGAAGGGTAAATTTTGTACACCCAGCACCGGGAGTTTGTCTTTTCAGTGCATGATACAAATTCTATTGGCGTTGCTTTTGATTATTCGTTTATCATTACATGTTTACATGTTTAAAATATTTTATGGCTAGATCTAGAATAATACTGCGATTATTCGTATATTATATATGATTCGAGTACTTTACGATTTAGAAATGGTATTATCTTCACAGAAATATTCATAACCAATGGACGACTTGCGCTTTAGACAAATTTTTGATCGAAGTAACTAGAAGAAAATAAATCATGACAGCTAGAAAGATCTTACTTAAATTAGTGCAAATGCAAAGTTTGGCTGCGAAATGTTGTAAAATACGGAAAATATAGCCACGCGAAGTTGGCAAATTTTGTATACTTTTGTATTACGACCGGAATTGTGTAACTAATTTATATTTAGTTACACATTTCCGCACGTAATACAAAAGTATACAAAAATCGACAACTTCTCGTGGCTATATTTTCTGTATTTTACAAAATTTCGCAGCCAAACTTTGCATTTGCACTAATTTAAGTAAGATCTTTCAGAAAATGTCCTTTTTATTGCCGAGGTAAGAAATTAGTCTAAAGCGCAAGTCGTCCATTCACTTTTTCACAACTGCCAAGTCCAATGTTAATATAGTTATTGAAAATAAGGGCTGAACGCAAAGAAGAAAACAGGATCTAATTTAGGACAAAATTCTTTTTATGATCTGTAGATAACAAGATTACTTATTCCTGCAATGGTTGAAAGGTAGAATTTCTATTTTTATTAAATGCATGTGGTACATTTCGCAAAATGTATCCTGTGTCTACTAAATGAATTTGTTTCTTCCGAAAAATATAAAGTAAGTTTATTGGAACGATCATTGTTTCTTAGCGAACTTCTTCGCCAGCGGATTAAGCATTGCATAAAATCCTTAACAAAATGCAACACGGAATTCAACTTGAATTTCAAGATGAAAACTTGCTGTATATATTTTTACTACAATCTGCTCAAATACTTTCATTGCCAATGCCACGTTGCAACGTCGCTAGACGCTTATTGAGCGGGGGGGGGGGGTGCATATTCGTATATTCGTCTATGCCCGACTGATTTCATGTGTTTGCTATCGTTTGCACGGTCGTACGAACATGGATATACAGTGGGGGTCAAAAGTCTGAGTCCAGTCGTTAATTTTTCTTAATTTTACCATAAATGATATCTTGTGTGTTAGAAATTGGATTTGTTGATCCGAACCTGCGCATTATATAATTATATGATAGTAATGCCTCCCGTATGTTTTCTCGTTAATTCTCATGGTGTTACAAGTTGTTCAAGAAATGCGGATTATTCTTTTTGTGGTAAAAGATGGCAAAAGAGGTTAGCGAAGGAAAGAGAGGGCCTGATAATCGAAATTAACAATGAAGAGATGAAGTTGCACGTGTCGAAGGAAAAGTTGGAAACGTTTCGTGAATCAGGTTCGTATTCAATCGAATGATTATGTGGGAGACCAAGAGCTACCAGTGCGAAGGAAGATTGGACGAAAGTATAAGGAAAACAGTGGACCTTAAAAATGTTGGAATAGAATTAAACCAGTAGTGCTAACAAAACTGGTTGACTCTATGCCAGAAAAAAGCAAAGCTGTTTTGAAACATAAAAGAGGTCAATATTAGAACAGCGCCAATTTGTGTTAAATTCTATAACATTGTACGCACATGAACTGCGGTCATTATATCAATTTGGCAAAAATCATATTGAGTGGAGTCAGACGTTGACCCCCACTGTACAGCTTCCCCCCACTGTACAGCTCCCCCCCCCCAATTAACCTTCTAGCGACGGCCCTGATGACATGCATATAATATTACATAGAACTGCAATCTTAACTTCTTATCGTAATCAATTTAGGAAAAAAGGAGTAATTATAAACATATCCTCCTGTGTCGCAGTTCGACCATTCCCTCTTCGTGCAGCATACTCTGGCACAAAGGTACTGTAAAGACTTCATGAAACCTTTTTCTAAGAAATGCCCACAGTTTTCGACTTCAGCAATGATATTTATGATATCTTTATATTATTGATAATATTAAATTTATTAATAATATAATATTAATAAGATAAATTTTATGCTATTTATTTGCAACAAGACGCCTGTTCTGGCGTTAACTCCGGCGCACGTGCCAGTCTTTAATATAGAGCTTCTGAACATAAACAATACAGTTCATATTCGCATTTAGATACCTTACGAACCTATAAATGTTCGATCGCGAAATTCAGAAGCACATCGTACTTTAAAAAGTGTAGAAGTTCAATTGTTCAAAAATGTAAATAAACCGCATGATACATTCGCTTTGTCTTACACTTTGCCTTTGGAATTCGCGCTTATATAGTTATATTAAATCTTCAATCCTGTGCAAACTACGACGTGTCAACGCGCCCATACACGACCACATCATCTTGTTAAACGGCGAAATAGCAGTGATATTATTAAAATAGGACCAGAATCAACATGTATTAGTATATTCTGACCCCAATTCAATCTAAACTTAATCGAACAGCATGAAAAGAACGGTTTATTTGTTCCTCTTGGAGGAATTGCCGTATCATGCGAGCGAAATCGAATCGCGCATCGGAAAATTAGCCAAAGCTGTACACCACAACTCTTGGGAGATAAGACTAGGACATAGATAAATACGGTCACATACACGTTTCAAATACTAGAATGTTTCGCGCCATTTCAGACTTGCGACGACGAAAAATAAAAAAAAACAAAAAAAAACAACAAAACAAAACCGAGGCGAATTTTCAACTCCGTCGCTGACGCCGGAGTAATAATATTGCTATAGATCCATTACACTGACGTCATAATCATTAATGGTTGTCTTTCAGATGTTTACTTCCTTCACTAAAAATAGTCGTTACGCGAGCGATGAATGTTTATATGGGGGGGGGGTCAAAGTACTTAAAAAAGCAAAGTTTCTCACACGCACTAATAAATATTTCTGTATTTTGCCCAAAATTTACGTTTTTGCAAAATTTATGCTACGTTAATTTCTCCTCCAGATGCCTAATGTTACGTCATGTCCAAGGAGTCTATATGAAGATTATAAACTATACTGACTTTACTGTTTATAATCACACATGTGTTCTATAGTATAGCCAGCCCTTTTTTATTACAAAAACTTAATTTAAATTTATAACATGTCGAATATTTTTTACAATAGGCTTTTCTGGACAAATTTTCTAAAAGTCTTCAAATAGAATATGGTGACAAAGGTATCGTTATCCAGGTATGCAGGCGAAACGGGAGAACGAACTTAACGAACACGAACTAGCTCCCATCGATTCTCATCAAAATTTGAACGCTAGCGATAGTTGCAACTCTTATAAACTCTCATCAATTCTCATTCTTGTTTGCCGGGACTTAACAACATTTTGATATAACTACAAATAATATCAAAATATATTGCACAGAGCCAGCGCTAAAATATGAATTTGGACCGCAAGAAAAAATATAAATCTATTATTTACCAGTTTAGTGGGTCCGTATGAAAATTATAGACAAATTTTTCCCTTTTTATTTAAATCTGAAAACATTTGGATATTTTGGCTGGCAAATGTGCGCTGTTTTTAGTAATTCCTTTTTTATGTTTTTTTTTAATCATCATCAGAGTGTATTGCCATTCTATGTCGCCACTAACATGACTGGTATGAAACCAGGACTATTTTCCCCAGCTCCAGACGACTACGTACGTGCTGTGCTGAAAAAGGTCGGAATTTCTTCAAGATGTTTTGGTTATTGGCCTCACGAGTTACAGGTGAGTAAAAGATAAGATTTTTTATACGAATGATGAATGATGAAATACTTTTTTTCACTAGCTAAAAAGTGGCCATTTGATTAGTTTGACGTACGATTTTCTCCACTACCAAAAGTTGACAAATGCCAATTTGTTTTCATTTTCGTCCAGAAATTTCATTTTCGTCCTGGAAATATAAGACTGAGACTCAAAACAGAATTTTAAATTTTCGAAACATTTCTCTTCTCCACACATAATAAAATCCTTTGCAAAGATATCTAACTTTCATTGAACAAAATTACGAAAAAACTCAACAGTAATAAACAGTAGCGTAGCCAACCTGACAATTTAGTCATGCTATGCTAATATTTTGGTGTTCACTGGCTGTGAAAACAATGAATTTTTAAAGACAATAATAGTTATAATAACTTAAAATTAACATAACGGGACAAAATCGTCGGTGGCCTGGTAATAGGTATGTTTCAGTGAACTCAAAAAAGACTGGAACGCTCACTCTCTGACTTTCCCTCATTAATGAGTGAAGCCAAGATGGCGGATCATAAAGCCTCTCTTGTAGGTATGATCCAGGCCTCGGCGCGAAAATTTCAAAGGTAAATCATAATTGCCGCCATTTAACCTAACAAATTTCCGCGCGGAGGCCTGGATCATACCTACAAGAAAGGCTTCATGATCCGCCATATTGGCTTCAAACTTCCGACAGAGCGAGCTTCCATTCTTTTTTGAGTTCACTGGTATGTTTATCGCTTCCGTTTCAACTACAAGCCCTACAGGAGGTGGCGGAAGTTTCCGAGACTGGTGAGCTCTGTTTTGTGGGCAAATTAAAGGCATGCAACTGATATAAACAATGACACTTTTTTGGAAAAAATAGTGGCAATGTGCTACTACAGCACATGCCGATTTAATTAAACCAAAAGTAACAAATTGTAGCTAATTGTTACAGCGTTCGTATTTTAGTACAGCACAGAAAAGGAGGGGTAATAAAAAAGGCCCACGCCAGCATAACTACTTAGAAATTATCGCAGCTCACAACCTAGAAAAAGGGAGGGATGGTCGGGTGAAAGCTTTCGAAATTGCTTCGACGACAGTCGGGTATATAATGACCTTGAACTTTTCGGATCGCTTTATGTACGTACGCTGACTGTGCACGTGAAACATGCTAAATGCACGTGAGCTGAATATTACTTAAATAATATTCTAATTCCGCTAGGAATAAATCAGGAGAGCACGTTCTCCAAAACGTAACAAAGTTTCCCTGTACTCAAATCTAGATAGGCAAGTTTACAAACGAGTTTCTCTCCATTGCTCTACGCGGGAGCTACCCCGTATATAGCTAAAACCTTTGATTAGTTTAAACATGGATAGTTAAAAGTGATTTTATTATCCATGATTTTAATTATAATATGTGTAGATAATAACTCTTAAATTCTTGTAAAACACATTGTAATTCATTTTTATGCGACGATGTGTTATTAAATCTCAATCAATCAATAAACTATATTCAACTCTATTTGGCAGCCATTTTGAAACGCATTTGTTGCTATAACTGAAATCATTGGGTAGAGTCACCGCTCCTCGCAAGAATGATTTTCATTGACTGAACTTTACAATACATTTCTGTTTCAACTTTCAACCAATAGCATAGCTTCGTTCTTTAGAAAGCATAGAAAAGCATTATCCAATTGGACGAAAGCTTTCGAGCACTGCAACACGTCCCAAACCATTAGCGTTACCAGATTTCGTCCCGCTGTATAAATTTATTATAATTATTTATTTCTTGAGTTCACAGTCAATGAACACCAAACTATTAGCATGGCCGCAGTTAATCGTCAGGCTGGCTACGGCACTGGATTCTTCCTTATTTTTAATTGATATTTTGTTTTTAAGGCGGTTGTAATGAATTGGCCGATTTCTAACTGGTTAATTCATAAATTTATAATGAAATTTTTATTGAAACGTGTACGACTGGAAGATGCAAAGAAGAAGTCCTAGCTTATAATATGTATACGTAGTTTTGTTTCATTAATTAAAACGAAATTCCTCCTTGTTGTAGCCAGGGACCCGGGTTGTATCAAGCCCGTTTAGCTTAAACGGTGGTTAAGTTCAAAATAAAAAGTCTATCGTTTTATTCAACAAGCAAACTAAATGTTTTTAACCTTAATATAAAAATACTGTTTACAGCTACATGTTCAGTGCATAGCTAATATTCAAGTTGACTCAAGCCAAGGCTGGTTTCCACTCAGGAAAATTCTCCTTTGGATCGGACAGGACAGGAAAGTTTCTTTTGTACAAACGCCGCCTGAGAACTCACAGACAAAGGAAATTATCCTGTCCGTTCCGATCCAAAGGAGATTTTTCCTGAGTGGAAACTAGCCCTCACTCAAGAGAGATACAGGAGTGTTATTTAATTTTGACTTATCCACGTGCACCGGCAGTGGCGTAGCCAGCACCGATAATTGGGGGGGCCCATATTCATATATTCATGTTAACAGACTGTAAAGACAATGGATTTGAAAAGAAATTAATCCTGCGTATCACGAATATATGAATATGGGCCCCCCCAATTATCGTTCTGGCTACGCTACTGTGCACCGGGCTTGATACAACCGGCCCCAGCACGATAATTGGGGGGCCCATATTCTTATATTCATCTTAATAGACTGAAAATACAATTTATTTGAAAAGAAATTAATCCTGCGCATCAGGAATATATGAATATCCCCTCCCCCAATTATCGTGCTAGCTACGCCATTGAATTCTACTGTTTAACGGAAAATATTGTGTATATGTGTGTTTATGTTAGTAAATGTGCGTGTTTATCAGTGTGTGTATATAAACGACAGAAAATATATTTACTAGGTATATAATGCGTGGAATAGGTAGTAGACAGGATGAATGTACAATAACGTAAGATAACAGGAAACGATCCTAAAGGTATTAAACCAGTTGTGTAAAACAGTATTGTAGTTAGATTTTTAAAATGAGATATAATTTTTCTATTGTTAGGTTGTTAATCGGATTGGGTTAGATCGTATATGTATAAGTCGAAAGTGAACGAGTGTAAAATTAGGTATCGTTGTTTCAATGTTTCTAAAATAAAGAGAAAAGTAAAAGCAGCGTGTGCAGGTCAATTTACTGAACCCGAAGCCAATGAATTCTGCGTCATCTATTCTGAGGCATCTAAAGTTGACAAATACGAACATTTCTTACGATGGATGACGTTTTCTTGGCATTTCGAACACTCTGTACAAATCAAAATCCCTCAAAATTATAATTGCATTGAAAGTTGCAATGAAAACAGTGCATAACGTCAAATAATATTATATACTGTTTATTATTTATTCAAAATAATTCACAGCCTCTCATGGACTTATAGCAATATGCGAAATCGTCGTGTCCCACGTGTGACGTCATGCATGACGTGCATGGTAAACATCTTGCGCAGATACATACACATGTATGCCTAGCGTATCTATTTTTACGGGCTGCTAACATGAATAATTATATATGTGAGTGGTTCGAGTAAAAACCAAATCTTATAGGCACGGAATATGCAGTGGCGTATCTATGGGTGTGCAGAATAAATTACACAGCTTAATTTTATATTGGTTATAGATCTGAAAAGAATATTTTTACATTAAAATCTACCAATGTGATTCCGATTTTAGGCTGCAGTAATTTATTTTGCACACTCCTATATCCGCCACTGGAAATATGGAAAGCATGAGGTTAAAATTTTTAGTTGGGCAGGTATAGCTGTATTTGCCTTTCAACTTTATTAATCTTTAGCTATTACCAGACATAACGAATTTTCATTGTTAAATATTATCCCAGGTTTAAAAGAGTGCAGAAAAAAATGTCAAAAATGCTATATTTTCCAAATATGATGTTTCTGTTCTCATGAACTGACATGTGACCGCTATGGTACATCCATAGATGCATACACGATGTATCAGGAAAAATATACAACTTAAATATTCAAGAATAGTCTATCTTTTCTGATCGAAAGAAAGCGATAATTCATGAATATTTAAGCCTCTTATAGACGAGCAAGTTTTCTATGACAAGTTTTGATTGGCAATTGCACGTGTGTATGCACAACAATTTTTTCTTTGACAAGCTTTATTTGCTCGCTGTGAACGTGCCAACAAGTTTGCTTTGACAATTTAGTTTGCAGCCAGCGATGTAATCGTACAACGGACAACGTGAGCGCGCTATTGCAAATACTATAGACCGCTGGCCAACCGCATAAAAGTGCTGATATTATGTGACAAGTTTTCTTTGTTGACTCATACTGACGAGCGAAATTAGCACTTTGACAATTTTTTATGACAAGATTTAAAATTTGCTAGAGAAGAAGCTAGGATATATGTCAAAGTCATTGTGATTGAGTTGCAAATTTAAATATTGTTATCCATATCTGTAAATTGTAATTATCGGTGATGAAAATAATTTGTGGGTAGAAACAAAAAATGAAAAGAAGTCATAATACTGACAAAGCATTTTCTTTTTATGAAAATTGACCAGAAAAATTTGATTAACTACTGCAAGATCAACTACATTTTTTAACTTTCTTTTGTGTTCAAGTATACAGCTGAAGACATCAAATCGTGATAATTAATTTTGAAAACATGAAAACAAGGAAAACTTGAATGACATTCAGTATGATGCATGCAAACTATTCAAATTTAATCATTTTTTCAAAAATAATAAAAAATAAAAAACAGCTTGAATTTCACAGTAATTACTAAATCTAGTAATTACTTTTTTGAACAAACTACATTTTGAATACTTTTAGGTTTTTAATTCGGTAAATTGACGGATCAAGGGGTAGTCAGAATAAATTACTACAGCTTAAAACGCAATCGCTTTGCGATTTTTATTTTAAAATATTCTTTTTTAATTCTGAATCATAACCAATAGCGTGAATTGCATGTTATTAAGATTTTTTGAATTTAAAATTTAGCTGTGTAATTTATTCTACTACGAGTACATACGTATATGCTCCAAAGTGCATTCAGTCTTACGATGTTTCGAAGGTTTGAACCGTTGGCCATTTACCGATTTTCTTCAACTAAGTCAAATGCTTTTCACGTGGGAAAGCAGTCGCGGTAATCATAGAGGAAGACAAAAGGTCCTTTTAAAAGGGATGTTTTCTAAGAAATGTATCTCAGGATTCTCAGCATTTCGGTTTCAATCTTAGAAAAATCGCAGAATCCCGAATCTTGGAATCGTAGATCCGGGAATAAAAGGTCCGGGAATTAGGAACCAGGAACTTGGATCTGAGATAGCCGGATAGAAAACCGAAATCAGATAAGTGAGATAACAGCATTGCAACGGCATCGCAAAAGCGTAGGTTCATTTCCTGTCGGAGGACCTATAGTTTACTCATTTTTCCATCAACTTTTCCTGGCTTGAATTTGAAGTGTGTATAATTCCACTCGAAATTAAGACCCTTTGAACCTCTACAAATAAAATTACCCATTTGACCGGATATCTGAACAGTTTATATGGCGAGAACGGGCCGGCGAAAATACGTACTTTGAAATAAAGATTTTTAAAACCGGCTCCTTTAGGAATAACCAAATATATAAAAAAAAAAGTGAACGAAATCCTCAATATTAGAAGCTTGAACTTTACTCCCCTATTTTGCGCCTTCCCCACCTCCGGTTCCGCGTTTACGTATCCGCGTTTCATTCCTCAAGACTCACCCGACACGTGTCCGTCACGAGACGATCAGACGAACACCTACATATGTATTTCAAAAATTCAAAATAATACAAAATGGAAAAGAAAAGTAGCGACTTTGTCCCTGTTTGTGATGATTTAAATACCGTTTATCCAAGTTCTAGTGCCAATGCAATCGCCAGGTGAGTTGTAGGCGCAAGCTAAGATTTCATATCCTACAATGTAGCAACTTTCTGCACCGTCTTACAATTGATCAATCTCTGACCGATCTAAGTTTTGCACGGCTCCTAGCCACAGCTGATTGGAGACTTGGTCTGAAATGTTTTCTCGTGATTTTAAAGTAATGCCTACATTGAAAAATCGTTTTATTATCTAAACGAAATACACTTATTGCAAGATTTTTAATAAACTAGTCAAAAGTGTTCATTGAATCTTGAAGTATATTGCTATGGCATGTACTCACATACTGTACATTGCTTGAATACCTACAACTTATCTTAGTATTAAATCTACACATGGCCATAAGTATTCATTTCATTCATTGTTTTAAACTTTAAGTGAAATGGATTGCATTAGTTTTTTTTGCCACAAGCTGGAGCTTTATTTTCCTATTGAGACTTACCACTTAGCCAGGCTAGCTCACATTTGCTGGCCCACTTGATGTTTTCATATGAGCCCGTTAAAGGCGAGATCTGGCTTTGTTCAAGCAGGATCTTGTCAGAGCGAGGGTGGCCCAGTTTCATATTCATGAATGCAATTTTACAAGTATACATGTAGTGAAATAATATGTGAAGCCACATCCTGACACTGCCGAGCTAGCCCGGCTAGACATGAACAGGCTCTTAGTTGTTGTGTGTTAAATAAAAGGATGATTTGCAGCATTGGAACATTATTGAGTAAAACTTCATGAGTAAAAATCCATTTCATTTAAGGTTGCTCATTAAAGTTAAAGACAATGTTATTGTCAAGTAATTATTGAGTCTGGATCTGTTAGGGAGCCATACATTCAGGCTGATTCAGCCATATTGAGCCAACTGAAAAATATATTTCAGTATCCATGCAATGTGATACAATTAATGCAAGAACTGACATACATACATGTGTACACCGTATATAACCTTTCATGAAAACAAATGTAATATGTCAGCAAAAAATAAATATTGCATGAATGACATTAGCCTTGGAATGAAAGTGAATCACACACAAATTATTATCATCCCTCATAGACAATCATTTCATCGGGTATAGCTATATATAGCTGAAGTGAATTTTATTCAATTGTGCATACTGTGTTTCAATGCAATGTAAGAGTGTGAATGTGTCCTATCAGAATTCAGGTTGAAATTGCTTTAGGTTGAAACTGATGTAATTTATATGACATATAGTCCCAGTTACAGTACTATGCCTTGGTACTATAATCCTAACTAAGCTATATGTATTCTGTTATTCTTACATACCACAGACAATTGAAGATGCAAATAATCTTTTACCATTTCCTATTCATTTGCTTGCTTGCTGGGCTACCTTCATATGCTATAGACAAGATTATACTTGTCAAGACTATACAAGTCTTGTTTCTTAGGTGAACAATTTGAAAAAAAGTGTTTATATTAATAACCCCATCTGTCATATTATTCTGATTTGTGGTCAATTTATGCGTAAGAGCAAGCATGGTATTTACCTGTAGGGTATGATTAATATTGTTAGTGATTGAAAAAGTAATTAATAAATAAGATAATAATTATTAATAAGGTGTTAACTAATAATATTATTTACATCAGTCAAAAAAAAGCATGCAGTTGTTTCTGGTTGATGAAAACAATTTTTAGTCCAATGGAAACAACTTAATTTAAGTGTGGTTTTTGTAGCTAGGACCCTCTGCCCATACAAGCAAGGTATAAGATAGCAACTGTTATTTATATAAAGTACGGTAGTCCCAATGTTCTGAAAGTGTGCATAATCTTTAACTATTTACAGGTATGGAGAAATAAAGAAGAAGTTTGATTCTTTATTTGGTGTTTCTCCATTGTTCTACTGTCGAGCTCCAGGAAGAGTCAATATCATTGGTACATGTTTTGCGTCATTTTATATTCTCTCCATTTTATCGCGTTGTATTTATTTGTTCTTTTCGTTTGGTTGACGCCTGTGTTTATCAGAGTAATGATAAATTCCTGTACTAGGCAAACTCTTACCCTGAGGGTAATTTCGCTGAAGCGTAGTGGGTATGTATTTAGCCCTGCGTGCGGACCTTTAAAAACATAGTCTTTCAAGACGTGTGGTTTTGAGCACTTGTTTTACGGCGTAATAACACGTGTGGGGGGTAATGTATATTCATATATTCATGTTTACTGGTTCTAGCTACTTCCCTGGCTTTGCAAAGCAATTTCTGATTTAACTCACAATGACACATTTTGCCCGCGTTGAGCTTCATTTTCTTTTAAATTTATTGTTCAAACAAATATTCTTAATAATCTTGTTTCTTAGGTGAACACATTGATTACTGTGGTTATGGAGTTTTACCAATGGCTATAGAACAGGATATTATCATCGCTGTTGCTCCTAATCATGATGGGAAAATTGTGTTGTGCAATTTAGATGAAAAATTTAAGTAAGTTCACGATTTTCTCGTCTCTTGTTTGTTTCTTCATAATCGTAGGCACAATGATAATGTAATTTTAAACCCTGCTATAAGCACGGGAACGAGTCAGTGTTTGATGTTAAAACGGGGGAGACTGCGTGTGTGAAATGTGCAATACGCCATTGCGTAGCCTGCCTGGAGCCGACTGTTCAAAAGGATAATCCAAAGTTTGAAAATTAAACTATTTACATCATTGAAAATTAAACTATTTACATCGAAATATTTCAGCTCAGTTGCTCAATAATAATTTGTTTTCTTTTTGAACTTATCCACCGTTTAACGCCTTTCGAACAATTAAGTTACCAGCCTCTGACAATTTAGTCTTTCTGATTGTACTGTGTCCCTAAATCATATCCTGCAATTTCAACCCGGCAAACCATGATGCAACGATCAGCACAGCTAGAGTTTTATTCACACCTTTCATGAACGTTCATTATGTATATTTCAGACGTTTTGAAGTTGGTACTAAAGATTACGTAATTGATGGTAAAGAATGGTATCATTATTTTCTTTGTGGTTATAAGGTACGCTGAATAGAATCTAATAGGGCATTAGTAAAATAAATTATGAATGCTCCTTTCGACTGATACATCACGAATCTACTTGTATTGGAATGGAAGCCTGATGCTCTCCGATAGAAAGTACTATAGGTCCTCCGGCAGGAATCGAACCCCTCTAGAATATTCCTTCATCGGGTGAAGTGCCAAAATCAGTATACTATATTGTACCTTTGAGGTAATCATCGTACAGTAACGTTAGTTCAAAAATCAATAAATATTTAGGTATTTGTAGATAGGTCAAATTGATAGAATAGAATTGTTAAATCTTGTTTATATAATATTTAAATCATATTTCTTCTTTTTTAGGGAATTGTTGACCACCTTAATTTAGAACATCCAATCGGCATGAACATACTGGTTGATGGAAATGTACCCAAAGTAATGGCAATAACACTAATGTTATGACTAAAAACACTGTCTGAGAATTTAGTTAACGAGTATTTATCCTTGGTTTATTAATTATGTAACATGTTCGTGCAAAATCATAATGAAAATTCTCTATACATGAAGTACCCAGAAATTGTCGACTAAATGCTGAACGTTCAACATACAAAAGCAAAGGTTGTTAAACCAACTCATGGCCTATTCTTATTTAGAATGCTGGACTATCAAGCTCGTCTGCGTTTGTTTGCTGTTCTGGTTTAGCAACGATGCACGCCAATGGTGGTAAACTTAGCAAGGTATGGATATAGACGATTATTGCATGTGTTTAAATAAATTATTTCAATTACTCTTCATCAAAATAGTGAATGAACAATTTCGATCAATTTTTTGTTATACAATGTCAAAAATACAACGTTCATTCGTCACAAGTGTTAATTATGAAATAAACCCCGTTCTCCAACATAGCGAGATTTCCCGCCGCGAAAAAGCAGAAGCATTATAAACACATATTTCAAACTAATTTCTGAATTCCTCATTCAGGTTGAAATTGCTGAGGTTTGTACGAAGTGCGAACGCTATATTGGCACTGAGGGTGGTGGGTGAGTGATTACGCTGAGAATATTATGTTACTAGAAATGTAGATTATGTGCGTGTACTGACACAATTATTATATTGTAGAAAATTTTTCATGATTACGATGATATATTATAAGATGTGTAACAGGCTGAAGCAATATGTTCACTGCAGAATGAACAACCATGCACTGCATATCTCTATATAGCTATCGAAATATCGACATGCAGAAGTGTGGGGTTGCTGTAGTAAAATATAGTAGCTATGTTTCAAATTCAGAAATTTAATGGCTAAGTTTTAGTTTATGTACAGTTATACAGCAGTACGTTCACTGCAGAATGAACAGCCACTGCATATCTCTATAGCTACCGAAAAATCATCATGCAGATTTGAACTGAGGGGTTGCTGCAGTATAAAATATAGTGTGTTTCGAATTCAGACATCAAATAGCTAAGTTTTAGTTTATGTACAGTTATACCGCGGTGAATAACTAGAGTTAATCTCGCGGATGACTTGAAATTTCTTTATATCAGTATCAATTATCATTCATCATGGTTAAGATTTTGTGTCATTTTTCACAGCATGGATCAAGCTTGCTCGTTTTTGGCAGGATTTGGAACGGTGAGTTTCCATAAACTTTGGCTCCGTATAATGCTGCAGGTATTTTTATAGTCGACCAATTTAGACTTGATTTGGGAACCCAGCAAAGTCTCATTCTGTTTTGTTCATACAGGCTCAAACAAACTTATGGATAATAAAGAACATGGGCGTCAATCGAACGTTAATATACGTAATGATATGCAGATATGAGTAACGTTTGATTGACGCCAATGAGAAAGAATTATCCAACATTAATGCTTTACTGTTTTTTTACCTTCATTGACTACCGTGATTAAATTGAGATATTTTGGCGTATTTTAGGCGAAACACATTGAATTTGATCCTCTTCGTTATAAAGATATCACCATTCCTGATGGAGTTGTATTTGTAATCGCAAATAGTTTGGTGAGTTGTTTTAGCGCAGTTTTTTAAAGAAATCCTTAAAAATCGGGAACAAATCTTTTGCTCCATATTATATGCGAACTGACTTTCTAAGAATCTTCTCTTTTAACGAGATATGACAGCGCTATTTTCAATGTACATAATACGCGATAACTTTAAATGTATTTATTAGTATAATAAAAGAAGTTAATATCGAAGAGTTGGCCCTCGCATTGGTTCATAGTCGGGTGTTTTGGCACGGGGGTATTTTCCCCGGGCCTTAGTATTTATATGGCTTGCCTTGTTGTTTATTTGATTATTATCGCTTCGTTCGCCCCGCCTTCCTCCCCTGACATTCCACCCTTGGGGGGATGGTTTCCCTTTATTGTTTTAGTTTAGTTTCTCTAGGTTCAGTTGGTTTGCAAAGATTCCTACGGTATGTATCTTATTATTACTATGTGTGCATCGTGTGTGTTCTTGTTTTCCTTCCACGGCTTTCACTTCTGTGATTCCGTGTGACAGTGTGATCACGGGATGGAGAGGGTACCGTTTAGGTTCCATATCTGATGGACGTACGCATGATTGAAAATGACAGTAAAGACTACGCATCGCCAACCTCGTTCGCTTCGCCGAGCTCGTTCGCTTCGCCGTGCTGCCGTCTCCATCCCTACCGATCCGCAGCGGGCATAACTAGTTAGGTTACTATAGTTATAGTATTCGCTAAGCCTCGCCTAGCCTCCTTGGGCCTTATCTGAGTATATTAATATTTTATAGAAATAGTTATAGAAAGAACAATTGTTATAGAAAGAACAATAGTTGCTGAATTTTTCAGTTCTTGTTTCAAGGTGGAGATGAACAAATCAAAAACTGCCGGAACGCATTTCAATGTCCGTGTGGTAGAATGTCGCACAGCAGCAAAGGTTTGTATTTTTTCTCACGAAGAATACGCAGTTACAAAAAGCAACCGAAGAAAATAGAAAAAGTAGTACTCCATGGTTCGATAGTTATATTCCGGATAAAATCTGATTTTAAAAAGACTTGCCAGGCCTTAGGGGATTAGTTTTGTTACGTATGTTGTACGCGCAAGAAAGATCGAGACGCCCGTATCGTAAATTTGGCATGTTATATATTGCATAAATAAGAAAGAGCTATTCCCACTCGCCCCTTGGGGAGGTTCTATGAAGACGTTAACCTTTAATTTCAAAATGTAGTTGCTAGTTAATGTTCAATATAGAAATTGTGTAAAATGGAAACAACATGTAATGCATATTTCTTACAGATTTTAGCGAAAAAGAAAGATATCGACTGGAGATCTGTTAGAAAACTTGCTCAAGTTCAAGAGAAGCTGAAAGTCTCGTTAGAGAAAATGTAAGAGCATGCAGTACCTTGTAGCCTGCATGTACGCTTCGTATTATGCAAGCAAAGTACCTTAAATCCTTTATAGTGCGAAACAATTGTACTATGTGACTATTTAGTGTCAAGAGCATGGCATAGGTTCTATTCCTGCTGGAGGACTGATGGTTGAGACAATCTTCTCAACTGTTCCTGGCTTGAATGCCAGATGTGTATTATTTCACTCGAAATTTAGATCCTTCAAATCTTAGCAGTTACGGATTATCTTGACTGTTTCCTTAAGACGCTGTTACACTATGCAACTTTGCCTGCAACTTGCAGTGAAATGCTACTTTTGAGGACAAATATACGAACGTTTCTTACGATCTGCTAACGTTTCCAAGCATTTCCGACACTCTTCACTAATTAACATCACTCAAAATGATAATTGCATTGCAAGTTGCAAGGAAAACTGCATAGCGTTACGCAGCGCCTTTAGCCGTATCAGCAATCCTAGGTGTATGCTTAATAGTCTGACTGAAGTTCCGTACTTCCATTGGTTTAACCTCGCCAAATTTGGTATGTTAATTAATTTTTCAGGTTGGAATTTGTTAAGGAAATCTTTCACAACAAACCTTATACGCGAGAGGAAATATGCGGAATACTGGAAATTAGTGTAAGAACAACTATAAACATTGGGACTTAAGTCCACTGACTTAAGATGCACCAAATCTACGACGCGGACGTGAAGTAATATTGTCATTATTTCCACAGTTTCGCAACAGGAATAAAAATTATAGACCTAATGCGATCTTTTGGTAAACAAAGTCAGAGCCGTATGGAAAGCCGTATGTGAATACTGAATTATACTGAATTCCTAACACCAGTGACTGTTTTCATGTCGTCCGCATCGTAAATTCGGCGCATGTCGAGGTCCCCCATATCCACTTGTAACATTTTATGTATTCTTGTAGTATAAGGATTTTATACACTGTATGTTATACATAAACGCTGTATAACAATGAAGTACGTCGTTGGTGTCTTTTACCAATTTAAGAATACAATAATAATCGCTCAATAAACATCGTTCCGCGTGTCATTTTCCTGTTGTTTAGGACCAGGAGTTTATCAAAGAATGTTTGAGTGAATCAACAACACATGTGAGTAGTTTCAAGCTACACGACAGAGCTAAACATGTTTACAGTGAGGCGAAAAGAGTTCTAGGATTTCGCGAAGTTTGTGAGAATAAACCTGACGACGCTGTCAAGGTAAGGAAGTGAAGAATGTTATAGTTGTTATTTTAAAGTTTGATATTTCATTCAGTTTATATTCACCTTATAACTGTATTTTCCTATTCTGTTTAAATTCCCACTATGACTGCCAACGATCGTCACATCGTCGTATATAAATGATCAGCCACCCCAGGGCCAGGCACCTGCATTCTCTAAGAAACCCAAATAAGATCCAAACCATTTCTTATTTTAGTTTGGAAGGAAGTTCCTCGCCCCTCCTTTTCTTCCACCCATTGTTTTTCAATTCTCTTATTTGAATGCTTGCGTGTTCTACGGAGGCACACTGTAGATTACTTCACTCTTGAAAACAATCTTGTTCCCCTGTCCCGCAATCCTTCAGCCAAAGCTCTTTTTCCAATCAGTCCTATCAACGGTCCTATATTTTATGCTCTAGCGAGGCCTGTTTGTTTTGTTCCCCTAAAAATTTACCAACTTTTAACGTACTACTTTGTATTACTGAATATATATATAAACTTAATTATTATCAAGATAGAGGTGTATTTACCGTCGTTATTACCTTTCTTCTTGGTCCTTGTAGAAAAATATTTTAGTCAATAACATATGTTCATTCCAATTTTCCAGTCTCTGGGAACTTTAATGAATGAAAGTCACGACAGCTGTAGTTCACAATACCAGTGTAGCTGTGAAGAACTGGACGAACTCGTCGCTATCTGCAGGTATTGTTAATCAAATAGTTGCTTCACAGTGTTGCTGCATGGGGATCCATGTAAAAGCCCGTTTAAGGCACGTTTACACTTGCGATTTTTCCTGCAATTTGATGTGCGATTTTCTTCTTTTGATAGATGTGAACGAGTGATTAGTTACGAATGTTCTGAATATAAGAGCTCTTATTTGGACTTCAGTAACTAATTCACTCGTTCACATCTATCAAAAGAGGAAAATCGCACATGAAATCGCAGTGTAAACGGGCCTTTACGCTTGCAATTTTTGCCGCGATTTTTATGTCCGATTTTCTCTCTTTGATAGATGTGAATGAGTAAATAAGTTACGGATGTGCAATACATATACTCGCACATCTGAGCATTCGTAACTAATTACTCGTCCACATCTATCAAAAGAAGAAAATCGCAAAGTGTAAGCGAGCCTTAAGGTTCATAGTAAGTTGGTAGGCATTCTTGTATTCATCATCATAAAACTTTATTTCAAACACGCAGGCCTCATCGGCTTTGTAAGCTAGTGTGCTGATCTCTCTTATCACCCCAAAAGATTATTTTTCTGTGACTGTGTATTTTAATGGTTAGGGCTTCGGTTTGCATCACGTTCTAAAGGAATCCCACAGTCGTGCGTTATTAGCTACGATTCAGTGTGTTATGAGATCAGTTTGTTCAGACATTCAGTTTATTATGAGATCAGTGGTCATAAAACGCAGCGTTTGTCATTGCTTCCTGGACACCCGTCAATAACCAACGATTTTGAAAAAATAAATATACGATACATTCTGCTACCATGCCCAAAGCCCCAGCGAGCATTATACACGCAACATATGCTAATCGTTGATGTTTATCCCCAGGTCTGCAGGGGCTCTTGGATCTCGTCTCACTGGAGCTGGTTGGGGAGGATGTACTGTTTCCATGGTACCCATTGATCGACTTGATGCTTTCCTAAAAAAAGTACGCTCTGAGTATTACAGTAACGATCCAGCTAAGATGGCAGTGATAGATCAGAGTTTGTTTGCAACGTCACCAGGCGGTGGTGCTGCTGTTCTCACTTCAAAATCCGTGAACTAAAAGGATTGTTTTGATATGTTGAAATGATTAAGAGGAGATATTTTTCTCTGTCGCGTAATATATGCTCAGAACCTCAGTTATATCTTCATGCAACAGTACTAAAAGTTTCAGCATTAAAAATGTTTTGCAAACCTGAAGAGCATCCACAAAGTATGTTTACTCTATAATCTCAAAATATTCTGAAAATGAAAAGATTTCTCGGGATACGCCGAGAAGAAAATGACACTTGAATCGAAGCTTCTTTTGTATTCATTTCAATTATAAAGGCGTTGACATTATAATTTGTTGATAGCTGCATTCTATTTGAAATAACTCCTCTGTTTGGTGTTTTGCATTCACCAAATACAGTTCAAAACTTAGTTCACAACATAATCTAAAGAATAAAGGTAAAATAAATTAATTTTGAGCGGTACGCCGAAAAGATTTTAGGTTTTGAGCGTTTTCCCGCCAAAATACGCGACATAATAAAAAATTTCCTCTTAATTGCTTTCTCTTTCAAAAATACCAACTGCACCTTCTATATATAAAGGCCTGTTTCCCGCTGACACGAATAAAAACGCCCATGTTGCCCCTGTTTATAAAAACAAAACTAATCTATATCTTTTTTTTATCAAACTTTGGCGGTAACCAGTAAAACTAGTGAAAAATACAAAATCTATTAAAATTTAAAATGATTAGCAAAATAATTAGTGAATTCGCAATGGTTAGTTGATTTACATCATAGACATCCACTGCAGATGGATAGGTCATATGTAAGCTCTAAACTCAATGACAGGATTGACTCGTTATCATGCCTTTCGAGATCATTTGACTGCGCTTTAATTTATACCACGTGACAGACGAGTTTCCTGTATCCGTCGTATTGGATATTTTTCAGTTTTTTGCGTTGAAAATATATCACGAGATAATAACATAGATTATAGAGACGACAGATTCGTGAATGTTCTGTCTAGCAAAAATCATGCAATAAATCATAGACAGTCCAGAAGACAACAAACGTCTAGCTTCTAGATTGTCTATGAATAAATCGATCAACCAATAAATCTTTTTATTAGAATCAACTTGCAGTATAAGAACTGTATTGCATGGTTCTTGAAATTATCATATCTAATAATTAAAATGATACCTAATAATTAAAATGCCTAATAATTTTATATTTGACAGTAATAAAATTACTTAATTCTCATTGACAGACTGTTAGGTTCGTGTCTTGTAGAGTATGAATACTGTCTTGTCTTTCGTCACGGGAGGGGTTATGTATGCTTGTATAGGTTAGTTTTGAAAAATAGTTTCGTATCTTACTTCGTATCTTGAGGCGGTTAGAATTTCGTGTTCGTTCATGTGGTTGATATTAGACTGTGTGAACGTGTGAATGTCACACGATCGCGATATTTGGATTTGGTTATGAAGTCTTGAATCATCTGGTAATTGTTAATCTAAATTCAATATTTACCAATGAAATAAAATAATGTAATTGTTCAATTCAACCAACATGGCCTTCATTTTTGCTACGAGATATGATGATGCATGTACCACGTTGCTTTGGCTCAATTGTTGATCGCCAAAGTCGTCGCTTTCATTGACAAGTACGTGAAGTTCTTTTCCATACACTCCTCAGTCTCCAACGCATGTCTGGGTCAAGGGGTGTGTCCCGTGCATCGCACTCCTCGTATAGGGCGGTTAACCGCAGTCTTAAACGAGATTGTATTCTGGAACGAGGCCATTCATAACCACGCCCTTTCCACAAAACCCTGCCTACCAGTTGTCAACAAATTCTACCGAAATCTTCGACGTGTTGGACCGATGATGAATGGGCGCGCATGGTGTGCAGACTACACAGATTTTATTTGCACTGTTGGACGTAAAAACTTAAAGCACTATCGAAAACTATAAAAACATTTTTTCATTCGGAACGCTTTACATTCAAACGCTCATCGTGAAATTTTGGACTTAAGCAACAGCAGAAGTGTTAAGGTTAACATAACTTCCCAATGATTTAAGAAGATGGTTAGGAATTGTGGTTTAAATATGGGCCTCGGAGTATAACGTTTCCACTTAACTATCGCTAATGGGGTGGAAACGTCAGCCAACATCACTAAAACAAATAGTCCCTCTCAGGACTTCGCCAACCTTCACGACCAACATTTATACAATCAAAAGTTTGACTTCATTTTCCTTGATCATTGATTTAAAACAGACCTAACTATTCGCAAGTAAACCTAAGATTTATACTGAACTATCAAAAATCTTTAAATTCGAGAATTGGGCATTTTTATTGAAAATTCTCTTTACGTTCCTCGTAAATAAATAAATCGTAACAGTCCTTTAAGGCGATTCTCCATCAACGTCCGCTTCACCCGCGCGGGCGGATTTCTCTGTCCATGCGACCGTGACCGGCCTGAAAAAGAAAGCGCGCTTCGCCCGCGCGGTAATGGAGAATCGCCTTTAATGCATGGCATTAAAATTCCCGCGCGATTACTCACCATAATTCATGCAAATTGCTCATGAGACATAGCACTCGAGTTCCCTTTTGAAAACTTCCGAAACGGAAGTTCCTTCAAACTAAACACTCGTCAATTAATCCACTCATATTAAGCTTTAAGCCGGTTTTCCACTGGGCGGAATTTTTCGATCGAACGAAATTTTTCGTCTGATATTCTTTTCAATTGTGAGAATTCCGTAGCGGTTTCCCTTCACCGGTCACAATTGACAAGAAAATTCTTACTCAGTTCAATTCCAAAAGAATTTATGTAGGGAGCTAGGGGCTACTTCTTTATAGCTCCGAAAAGCCTCTTACAGACGAGCAAGTTTTTAATGACAAGTTTTTATGTGACAAGTTTTAATTGTTCGTCTGCACGCCCAAGATTTTGAACAGGTGTACTTGTCATAGATAAATTTGTCAAAGTTGGGCGTACAGACGAACAATTAAAACTTGTCATAGAAAACTTGCTCGTCTGTAAGAGGCTTAAACATATAGGGCAGCGGGGTGCAACCCCCCGTCCTTTGATATTTTCCTGTTGATATTTTAGCATTCATTAGAAGGAATTACTCCCAGTCGTGGCTTCTCAGATGAATCGATGGCAGTAAAACGCGTGAATTAGACGTTTAGACATGTCGTCTCGTATCGTCCGAGTGCATGCGTGGTTGTGTCAAACTCTTAGCCACATTTTGGATGATTATATCAGTTAGTACTCCACAATATTAATACAACCGGCTTCTAATTAGGGTGTAAATTAAGTTATGGTAGCTAAGTTCTGGCTTTCATTTAATCAATTGTGGTGAACAAGAAGTAAAATAGTTCGGATGTAAATTTGTCTTTTTTCATATTCAAATCATTCATTATTGACTATATCCACCCGTACCAATATATCTAAAACATCAGTGAAAACCAGCGAAGCCAAATAATGTTGTTCAAGACTTCCATATACGGCATGTGGGCGCATCAGACTGATCAGAGGTCTTTCTATCGGTGGCAGGCACTTCGGTGACGCTGCGATCAGCGCAGAAGCGTGCCGTTGTGTTCTTGTACCAGCTGTTATACTGATCGATTGTTCGCAAGATTCGCTTCGTCACAATCGGATATTTCCATCTCGAGTGTGTACATACGTCTGTTTGACAGCTCTGACCGACAACACCGTAAATAAACACAGACTGCGTTTCTAGGGCATTTTAAAACTGCTTTGTACTGCGTCTGTTGAAAAAACTAGCATCACCAATCACCAATGGCTGAAAAAATTAACGTCCAGTTTAGCAAGAACAAACTTTAGTCAGTGCGTAAAATTAAAATCAACAAACGGATATTAAAATTGCATATGCACGTGTGGCGTAATATTGACAAGGTAGCGCCGTTCTAGTCATATCTCTTATTCTATGACAATAATATTTCTGTAGCATGCGTTCATTTCTTTCCTTTTCTCTTTCAACGTAAGTTTATAAGATCCCGTGGCAAAATTGAAAGAAATGTGTCAACAGAAGTTACCCAGTGAGGCGTGGGAAGCACTTCTCTTGTAGTGTGAACAACTTGACTTTTCGCATATTTAACATATTTAATCTTTTAACAGCATCATTTAGCACACGGAAACGGGTACACATCAAGTATATTGGGTTGGTTTTGGGCTTGTAAACTTCGTGGGAAAACGAACGTAATCTCAACGAGAGCTGACGACTCGACGACATTGATCACCTTCAGCGAATAAAATAGAACAGAAGTCATACATTTACATACATTAAACATCGCCTGACCGGCTGACACAGGTAAGCACAGCAAACTTGTTTCAATAATGATTTTGCTAAGTTTCTAGAGTACGTATAGTCGCCTGACACTGTCTCGATTTTCATTCATCGCTTATGTAACACAATATTATGGATTCAACGTTTTTCCATCAGTGGTCTCGATTAAATTTATTCTATAAACATTTCCCTTATTTTTCAGTATAGCTGAGATGTAATTAAAGTTGAAAATAATAAAATGTACACGTCGATTAACTGAGTTAACTGTAGGTATAAATGCTGTTACCAATATTGTGTATAGATTCATTCTTGCACGTTGCCATAAACAATAGACTCAATAATCTACAGCAATCAGCATTTCAGTTTACTAATAAATATAATAAACTGTATAAAATCTGCAAATTACTTCAGACTGATTAGAGTCAGAGAGTTAAACTTGACTTGAATACAGAGCTTAATTGAAGACTGCGTGCAAGGTTTTTCGGAAGACAAAGGGAATACAGTGTCAGTAAGAATAAAGTTAACGTAATTTCTACGCCTATAGGTGTTGGAAAACCCAATGCAAGCGACTCAGGTTACTTTTGAAAAGACAATGACATCATTTTGCTTATGTTTAACTCGTTGCTAATAAATACAGACTGTTTAACAGATACAGTTTTTTCAAATACTGGACTGTTCGCAGCTTTTACTGGCGGCAAAATGAGAAACTATATATGTTATTTGGAAAATTTCCTACACCTTTTCGAGATGATTCGGGGAAAAAATTGAGATATTAATAGATATGACTTATGGCTATGCCACTGAATCTTCGACCAAATATACTGACATTTCACAGACCTTACCAATGATGTCTCTATATAGCAAACTGAATCAAATAGCGTAAGGCTTTAAAGGAATATATTGATTAGCGGCTGTTGCAAAACGCGACAATTCAGGAGTTGTAGTATAGTATAAGGACAAAGTCTAAGGAATAGTTTTGCATGTATTCATAGTGTGTATTGTCGACGGAAGTTGGTGCTTGAGAAACTTCAATTAAATGTAAAAACGGAAAAATTAATAAAATGACCTCATCGAGGCTTTAGCGGATCAACAATAAGAGAGAAACGATGAATCAGACATGATATTATTAACTTAATATCTCTTCAAAAAGATCGTCGTTGTTTTAAATTTTGTACAATTAAATAGGCTGTTATTCTAGAATTTTCATTGAAAATTTCCTTCTTGCCCCGACAATGTGACCCAACATTACTTTGAATTACATACAGCAAAAATGGTTTGTCAATGTTTTGAGTGATCTATTTTTGTTCGGAAGGAAATTTTGAACACCTACGGGAAATTGACTGATCAATTCACTTAATTGTAATAAATTAATGGTTCGGTTGTCGCCATTATACTGAGACACTTTTAAAAGATATGATTCGCAAAATTCTATAATTAACATCCAAAATAAACGGAAAAATATTTATACCCAAAGCATGAATGAAAATTTGATCATGCATAACTACACCAAAATATATATACTGTATTATCATTGTCCGACGAATTATTTTATTATACGTGTATAGATCAAGAGATTTATGCACAGCAGAATGATGAAATAAAAATCGTACTTCACTGTGTAAATTAATTTCATGCAATTCGATTGGACGTACGATGTTTATCACGTGTGAAAAAATGCCATACACGGCTTTTGATTGGACGTACGATATTCTTCACACGTCAAATATTGTCGTATGTCATTTTGGCGGCAATTTGTTCACATTTTCTTTCAAGATGGCGTCGAAATATAGGAGTGAGATTCAAAACATAATTCTCATATTCAAGATGTTTTCACATTCAGCACATTCTGAAATCTTTCGGAATTAGCGAAAGAATATCTAACTTCTATTGAACACAATTACAAAGAAACTGCATAATTAATAAATATGTTTTGATGCATAAAATTTCGATTTTTGTTGCTCGCTGTGTTTTTGCATATTAAAAACATATTGTTGTCAAATTGATCTTTATACACGTTTAATAAACAAATTACTTCATGGTTGGCTCGTTTGTACGATTTTTATTATGAACTCGTTGTGAAGGATCGCAAACTCACTTGTTCGCTACACTCACCCGTTCGTTTTGCGATCCTTCACAACTCGTGCATAAAAAACGTACGCGTAAACTCGCCAACCATGAAGTAACCTCTAATGGCTCTATATATTCTGAAAGATTTGAGTTGAACAATGTAAACTATCTTGCAATTAACATGCAATTCTATACTTTTAAGAGATGTGAACTTGGCAACTACCGAATTCGAAACCCTTTTACACTCCACACATGTTCTCGAAAGCTTTTGACTAAATAACTGCTGCGTTAATTGGAAGTTGTGAGAAAAATGGCATCGTGTAAACCAGCCTTTCATATGATTGCTTTGTTTCCGCACAAATACATTGCATGGTACGATTGGAAAGTGAAAATTTTGATACGCTGAATTAATGAATTCCACGAGATACCTTCGATATTGTGAAAGGACGCTGATGTTTATCGCGTCAATGTACACAAATGAAATCACAAATGTATAGAAATATATTTATATATTGGTGGTATATAGTGCATGGCATCTCGGCTCGTATGATGTCAAGTAGCTCCCGTCGGTGGCGGGTGTTTTGTCGACGCGGTATAATTATTTTCATACGATTTCACAGCATCGATGTCTTCAGCTGAGCTGGTTTGCTCTTTCGGTAGAAAATACGAACATTCACTACATTTAATATAGTGCTTTACTGAGAGCTATTTCTGACAGGGCCAATGCATGACAACTATTTTTAAGCTGCATATTTCACACCAGCATAATTATTACGATGCATATATAAACAGGGCAACCGGCTAATATTCTGCGAGTCGGTTATCGAAGTCTTTCACTAAAAACATTCGCCTCGTTCCCTGAAGGAAAAGCGTGAGACCTGCAATCATGACTCGTTTGCTACGAGTATCATTTTCTCACTTTGATATCTACAATTGTTTCTTCTACATCGAAATACAACTTTACCGCCCCTCCTCCAAAAACTCGCCGAGGAAGGTCATGTTTGCGACTCACCACCATGATTGGGGCCAGGCGAAAATGTTTTCAAACCCCAAGTATACATATAAACGTAGAAACCATCAAAAAATACGAACAATGTTTAAAATAAATCAATCAGGAATAAGGCGATGTGTGATATATGCACCCTCGCACCAACCCACCCTCTCAGGAAGGCTCAGCCTGCACGTTGTAACGGAGATGTTTATAGTAAAGACCAATAATAATTACTATTTATGATGATTTACAGAACAAAGATGGCCAGTACATATAACTTTCTCCGATATCTCATGATGGCATTCAACGTCGTGTTTTTTGTAAGTTTTTTAAAATCTATTATCTATTTAAACATTAGTGCACATGTCGAGGCCGGTTGAAAAGATTAAGAAGAGATTTCTATATTCTGTTTATGTGCAAGTTTACCTGCCAAAATCAGAATTAGTACTACATAATTTTATTTTTACAAGTGGGCGTGGACCATGCAATGTGTTTGACATAAAGCGATATTTAAATATGCGTCACAATAAAAATGAGAAAGAAAATTGAAACATCTGTTTCTCGAATAGATGGAATATTCATGTAGAAAAAACGAAAAAGTAGGCGAACAAAAAACTGTGGTTGCAAAAAAATTCCTACATTCTTGGACAAAACCGTTGAGACAGATTCGGCTAAGGATAGTTAATTCACAAAAATGAAATTTCTAACAACCTCCCCCCCCCTCTCCATCTAGTTTAATGTTGAAAACGCGCTGAACAACTTTAGTTGCTAACCACGATAGAATCACAACGGTGAGCTTAAGCAAATGACGTTTTTGACAACCCAAACGGAACGAGTAACGTGAAAAGACTGGGTCAAGGATTGGGATTGGTGAAAACAAAAGCTTTACTTTCGGTCAACGTACGTGCATGTTGTCAAAAACGTCACTTGCTTAAACTCACTAACATTTGAGTTGGTAGGCCGGAGAGGTTTAGAAATGTCTTTTCCTAAAGAGGAGGGGGGGGGATGCGGGTGTTTATGGACAGCAGGCTCCGTATGCGTGGATCCTGACTTACGCATTACGGAGTTTCATGCGCTTCTCTTCGTTCAGCAAAAAAATTTTTTTAGCGGTTATTTTTATAAAAGAAAAAATTTTATAGAACTAATCCTTACACTTGCTCTGTATGTGGTTAATTGTTATATAGCTTTGTGGAGTTGGCGTGCTGGTAGCCGGGATAATAGTCCGTGTAGACAGAAAAGATCGTTTATTGTACCTGGAAGTTTGTGATAAGTTTGATTATCATGCAGCATCTTACATCACCATTGCTTCGGGTTTGTTTATAATCATCGTCTCTGGTCTTGGTTTAATCGGAACCCTGAGAGAAAGCAGATCCCTTCTTCTTTCGGTAAGATATATGAAAACTTCATATCTATTTTCTACACGTGGGGAAGTAATCAACCATTTTGATAAGTGATTCCTGCATGAATGTATTATATAGTTATAAACGATTGTCATTATAGTCAACTTGATAATTCGGGTGAATTTCTTTGCAGTTTATTTGCTGTTTATTTACTTTGTTCTTGATCGAAGTGACGATTGGTATTTTAAGCGCGGTTTACAAAACAGAGGTAAGATGGCTATATTCATTATACATCTTATAGCCACAGAATACCTATCAGAAGAATAACTCTATACTATTTTTTCGTAAGTGTGATTCGTCATGATTCGTCACTTAGCAAGTGCATTTTTTTGAGATGTCACCCCCCTGCCAATGTCTAAAATCAGCGCATTTTTAGTATTGGCAGGGAGGTGACTACCTCAAAAAAATGCACTTGCTAAATGACGAATCATCACGAACCACATTTACGAAAAAAGTACTGGGGTCGGTTGTTCGAAAGGCGTTTAGCTTAAACGGTGGATAAGCCAAGGTTTAAAAATACTCTCATAGATCTTGTGAATGACTGAACCTGCTTCTTATGCATTCAATGTGTACTTTCATTCAAAATTAAACTATTTACATCAAAATATTTCAGCTCAGTTGTTCAATAAATAGATAATTTTGTTTTCCATTTTTGAACTTATCCACCGTTTAAGCTAAACGCCTTTCGAACAACCGGCTCCAGGAGTTCTACTTCTGATAGGTATTCTGTGATATAGCTGTTTCGCAGACCTGTTTCAATGTCTTTTTGTCTAAAACCTTCTTTGTTTCAAAAAGTGTAATTTATTAGTGTTTTGCAAGTACGTATTCTCCCGAAAACTATTATTTCATGATCAGTTGATAATGGGGTGCATAATGGCGCGTTAGCATGCACATGCATTCACACAAGCAAAACTAGGAAAGAATTTTTGTAAACAGTAAAAAAGGAAATCGAGAGGTGCATGAGAAGCTAATACTTGAGAAGGGTTGGTTATGGTGTAGAGTTGCAACTGCAACTAGTATAGGAGAGCTGGGAATCGAAGAGAGAAAAAAAGAAATTGCAAGATTTAATAATCATTTGCACTTTTTAAAAAACTTTTCTTCCACATCACCGGCTTTTGTACCAAAGATAACATAACACCCAGTAGCATAGACAGTCTGACGATCTCAGCTAGCTAAAAAAATAACAACGGTTACAGTGTTTTTTGTAAAAATATTTATTTAAATCACCTTAGTTATTACTTGATTAATTATTTGATTTTGATTAGATGGGAAATGAACTGAAAGTTTGTATGAATGGGACATTAGTGGAATATTACGCTGACGAAAATCTTAGAAATTCTTGGGATGAAATACAAGTTCAGGTACAAATTTTCAACGTTCAGCTTTAATATAATTATATCCTTTTTCTTTCATTATTGATACTGGACTGCAAGTGTTTTTGAACTATTCTAGTTATCATGTTGTGGAGTTAATGGTGGAAAAGACTATAGACATGCAAGAAACAGGCAATTCAACGTAACAAGCCCAAAAAGTTGTGAACCAAACGCCGATAAGGTAACAACGTGTTCTTCATCAGCATGCAGGAAAGTCCATGAATCATGTTACAAAGAAACTTCAACCTTGTTTACTCAATGCCGATATGAAATTTTACTTACTTTTACAAACTATTTAAAAGCAAATTAACGAACATAAAATTAACTGAGATTACAGCACTCCGATATAATAGTTCTTCGTTGTATCAAAAAGTTCCTGGAGTTTGTAACAATCGATTTGGTGAAAAACTTTGCAGTCCAAGACGCAGTGTAATAAAAAGATGATGTGATATTTCATATATTGCAAGAGCGCACTTAATGTATATATAACCATGCAAAGCTCTGTGGACACATGTATGAACCAAATAACCGTTCTATGTTTCTTGTGTCAGGGATGTTATTCCGCTATAAAGGACAAGGCAAGTGACGATTTGGTAATTCTGGCAGTTGTTGCGGCAGTTATAACATTAGTAGAGGTAAAGTGGAAATAATTTCTCTTCAATCAATACACATCCTCTGGCGACTGCATATGCATGCATTGGTATTCTTATTTGCTCAAATCTTAGCCCTGTATTCCACTAGGCGGGATTTTGTATCTCTCATATTAGTTCTGCGTTCAATTAGACTAGTGCTTTATGACCGGTTTATAATGAGTATAAGGCCTAGGTTATACGTCGCATATATTTTTGTCGCGTCGAATGCAATTCAAACAATAGATAACGAGATGATAAAGCTAATTAAGCTTCATTATCATCTCATTATCTATTGTACGTCAATACCTCAAAATCCCCTCACGCTTCGCTTAATAGACAATTCCCGGATTACACTATTTTTTTATCTAGGCATGGGAATGAAAAAAAAAATCACCACAGCCAGAAAGAGCATACCAAAATTGGTAAAAATCATGCGAAGTTTGGTTGCGAAATGTTGTAAAATGTGGAAAATATAAACTCGCAAAGTTTAAGCACCGCGTTCTGAAATTGCTACCATTTTCGGCCCAAATGTGGTAGCAATTTCCGAACGCAATAGAAAAGTATAGAAAATTGCAAACTTTGCGAGTTTATATTTTCCACATTTTACAACATTTCGCAACCAAACTTCGCAATTTTACTAACTTTAGTATGCTCTTTCCGGGAATATACTTTTTTTACCAACATAAAAAAATTAGTCTAATACGGGAATTGTCTATTACATCTTCTAAAATTAATATATTTGATCTCATGAGGGTTTTTTTGGATTAATGGGAGTCATTCATGCTTGATACACACTTCACCTACTTTACTACGATTTATTTATATTCTGTATATGTTTAATATTTCTCTTCATATTTTCCGTATAGCTTATTGGAATTGCCATGGCTTTATGGTTAGTTTGCAAGATTTCTGAGAAATATCATACATAAAGATTGACACAGGATGACGCTTAAGGATTTCTATCGATGGAATTGATCACAATTTCGCAATCTAATATATCAGTATTTTGTAATTGTACAGAAGCGTAGCCAGCCAAACAATTTTTTCCTGCTGTATGCCAAGGTCTGTTTTTCATAAAACGTGCATAGCCGGACTACATCATCAGGCTGGCTACGTCATTGTCATCCTATATAAAAAAACTATATAAAAGAAGCAATTAAACAGGGTGCATATTATAATCATCGCTCGTGCGGGATTACTGATTTATACTTGCACTGCATAACGGTTAAATAGACATTTTTCATAATGACATCAAACGCGGAAAGTCTGATGTCACACGAAGTTTGATTCGCTTGATAGTTTTGTGGAGCCAATCAAATTTCGTGTAACATCAGACTTTCTGCGTTTGACGTCATTATAAGAAAGGTCTATTATCTGCTATTAATACAATGATGCAGCCATTGACAGCACCATGTTGGATGGCCTAACTAATGAATAATTGTAATCGGTGATCGTGCGATGGCAAGTAGCTACAAATCAGGATTAATCCACGAGTGATGTTCATCAGTGAATAATAAAAAGTTGAAAAGGGAGTCGAAGTGTTTATTCACCGAAGAGGTATTCACCGAGCTTGAGGTGAATAATTGTAAGTAATTATCAATTTTGTATAAAAACCAGAAAGTTGTTGTAGAAAGTGTATTTTACAAAATACGTAAACAAGTACCTCGAAAATTTTACGCTGATTTAAATAAAGCAATGTTTTATGCGAAATAAATTTAAACACTGTTCTACAACGTGGTTTTTTTACCTCAAAATCCATTTCCTTTAAGCTGGTTCTTGAAATCCATTTCATTTGGTGGTGGTGGTAAAACGTTGTGAGCCGGTTAAACTCTTGTGATGTAATTACCGAAAAGGTCTATTATAACCGTTGTTCTGTCACAAAAACCTTTTCACTGTAATATACGATGCACCTTTCCAACAGAATGGAGTTGCAGTTGCCCACATCTAAAGCAAGATTCGAACCATAATAAGCGAAGTTGGAACCAACTGTGCCGGAACAAAAGACATTTAAAAATAAAATTCATTTTTCTCTTTGACCTCTGTATACAGGGTGTGTCAAAAAAAACGAAAACTGTTGAAATCACGCAGATAACATGATCCTGACAGTCGTATAATCCCCACAACAATAGCATGTGCTTGTTTGGTGTCATAAAGATTTATTTCAATACCTCAAATTCCCGTCACGCTTCGTTGAATCTCGGGCTCATGTAAACAGCCCCTTAATGCAACTTATAAAAAATTAATGCTAAATACGAAAAATTTGAAATTGTGAATATGATTGAATTTAATTAGCTTTCATTGTTATTGCTTCCAAAGAAAATTGCATAGCTGACCGCGAAACAACGAGTGTTTATTGTGAAATTATCTTCAGTGCTTAGGCATTCAAACTCTAACAATTACATTGTTATGGCTGATTTCAATAGTTTTTGTTTTTTTGAGACACCCTGTATACAGGGCTGGTAGATAGCTGCATATTTGAGGCCAAACAACACCACACTAATACTTTGTTTCCTTTGTCTTTGCCTTTTGTGTTCTTTGTTTTCTTCATAGCACTAATGACAATTTGGCCCCAAATATTTACATATCTACCAACTCTGCCTGTATATACGTACAGGGTGTCCAAAAAAAACGCAACCACTTAAATATGCAAGAATATTAATATTGTTCGGGTTTGCACCATAGTTCAGCTAAAATGACTTTTAGCATTGTAAATGAAGGATTAAGAGCCATTTTCAATTCCCAGAGGTGCTTATCTATTGCGCTTTAGAGCTGTATTAATGTTCTGCATATTTAAGTGGTTGCTTTTTTTTTGGGACACCCTGTATACAGGGTGTGTCAGAAAAAAGTCCCCTCTATTGAAAACAAGCCTTTGTTAGAATCTGATTGCCTTAATATTATGATAAACCCAATTGAAAGCAAGACGCTTTATTTGAATGCCTCAACCTAATAACTATGCTATTTACACACTACTGCGTTGATCATGCATTCAAATCAACAAAGGCTTCATTTCAATAGCGGGGACTTTTTTTTTATTCACCCTGTATACGTAGATATAGCAACGAGGCAATGAAAATAGGGAATTAAGTTGTTCAATCAAGCGAATGCGTAACGAAGGAAGGAATTATCTCTTTAGCTATACATAATGCTTTTAGATAACTTAGCGTGTTCAGGCTAAATTTAGTATTTGTTCGCCTTTGAGGAAGCATGGCCTCTGAGTAGCAAAAAGAGGTGATTTCGAGATCCTCAAAGCGTGGAAACTACGATTGAATACGTGATAACTTCTATCCATAAAGTGAGGTCAGGGCAATCCTTTCGCCTTGGTTCTGAAGAATTTGTAAAAATTCGACACAGACTTGTGTTCAATGATGGTAGAAACATTATTCATTAAACTTTTGGCTTATGATCAAATTTGTTCAAGAAGTTTGCGACGATTAAAGACAGAAAGCCATATCCTGGCCGTAAGTACAAAATACCAAATTGTATGCCCGTTGAAGCGAATTCTAAAAGACAACAGCCGAACTGAAGCCAACATGTGAAGTGCTAACAATCACTGGTAGGTTGAATTCTTTAATGTTTAAGATGGCTCCCTAAGGTTTTGAGAACATTTTTAAGCGCTGATTTGATGATATAGAATTAAGCACCAATATTGGATTAAAATTAGCTTTAACGTATCGAATACTATGTTCGAAATAAGAAACTGTTGATTGGGCAAGTATAGAAGCCGTTGCCATGGCAACAATGACGTTTCAATATGGAAGAGTTTGGGAAATAATCGTAATTTAATGATAATTGGTGGCGGTGAAATGTTCTAATAGCAACGGCTTTCATAGTTAATCCGTCAACATTTTCTTATCCCTAACGTACTGTACAATATAACCAAAAGTATTATTGTCTTCAGGCCACAATATTGGTGTTTATAATTCGGTACAAGAAACCTACCATCCGGAATTTTTACAAAACCCTATGGAGCGACCTTAAGTAACGCTCTAGTTTAATTATTATAAAAATTATTTTGTTGCTTCAAGTGTCATTCGATTTTTTGTTCTTTAAAGTCATTCTAAACAAAATGATTTATTCAAAACATAGCAGTTAAAAATACTTGCATAATTTTTTACTCATATTTACTCCTCAATTTCCCCATTGTTGTAACTAAAGTCGCGCCTAGATGAAGTATCTACAAAAGTGATATAAATATAGCTCAGTGTTAGACCGACGGCATGCAATTTAAGTTCGTGAAAAAAGTCTAAAAAGTTTTTTATTCTATTTGCAATGATCACTTTGGCACAAAACGTGCAAATATTGTCAAGTATTGTATATCTACTGTTGAGATCATAGGAAATTGAAAATGTAAAATGCCAAGTTTCGAAAAAGTAAAATAGATTAATTTGCTTTGCGCTCATGATTATAGTTTAACTGAAAAGAAGACGTCTTGTTGCTATTTGATCTAAATTCTAAATCAATCAACATTAAGACTTGCCACATTAAGACTAAGAACAGTTTGACCTGGCTGGCCAATGACGAGTGTGAAGCCGAGAGCTTGTATTCTTCCCAAAAAGTGACATTTACAACCTTTATGATGTTCTATAAATGCACGAGGAAATGAAATGTGTCAATGGTTTTCAATTTTCGGGTTTAATTTCACTTTGTGTTCTCGAGAGATTTGCTCATATGTTACATGCCTAGATTTTCCCTAGGTCAGTTTCGGAACTTTCAATGATTATGGCAACATGACTACATGAACTTTGTTTACGATCGCTGGGGTCAAAATCAATATACTTCAAAAATGCGAGCAAATAAAATTAGGGCTTTCTCTAAACGATATGGACTTATGACCATGGTATATACCAGGCAAAATTTCGATTGATCCAAAAATTCAGCCTGGTCAAGAGCTTCAGGCTGTTGTGTGCTCAACGCGAAATTTGGCGTTCGAAGCAAAATGTTTCTTTGTCTTTCCAAATTTTAAATTAAAAATCAGCTAAGACAGAGGCTCTTGAAAGATAACTATGATGACTTGGCTTAGGGTAACGAAAGTATAATGATCTCTTTGTCTAGTTTCCTAGTATAGATAATGCAATATTTTTTTGCAATACGAATTAATTTTTTAATCGCATGGAGTTGTTGAATGTTGATCATATTCCGAGAATTTGATCAAAACAGATTCATTTGTCACATGATCGATCACAATTCAAAGGAAAATCGTGCGAGAGATTTGGAAAAAACCGCCTCAAATGAAGGAAATAGGAAATTAAATATCAAGTTTATGCAACGCCTTATATCCTTTCATCACAAGAAAGGATCTTTTCATCACACTACAGTCCGTCAAATTAGTGGTCTGTATAGGCTGTAGAGACAAGAGGGGTGAAAGCTGTGTCAATTTAAACATACCTGCATGATGAGCTAATCCGGTTAAACCGTCGATTGGTATTATACTTTTTTAAAAGTATTATATTCCAAACGCAAAGGACATGAATGAACTTGAAAGTATAGTTCTTTGTATTTTGCACGCCAATTTTTCAGCGAAACAGAGAGCATCGATTATTCAAGCTTGTTGAGAGAATCTTGCTACTATATAATTATATCCTTGAGTAAAATACTTCAGATAACCAGTGTCAACGAATTTATCACAGAAACGTTTCAAAGCGGTTGTCCTATTGCTTTAGAGATCAGCGAACAATAGATACCCAAAGTCTAAGGTTGCAACGATATCTACCTTCTTTCAGTTCTTTCAATAATTCTAAACTCGCAGTCATGAATGTATGGCTAAAATGCAAGAAATAAAAAATACTTGCAGCTCTATTTGTCGGCAAGTTTTATAGTAATAGCTTTCATATATATGGCTTTCATGTTCCTAGTTAAATAGCTATAAGGAAGTAATATAATCCCTCACAATACCCTCACATGACTCTCAGCGGAAGTTCACGACTTAACTGATATTAGTTGTTCCGGTATTTCAAGCTTCCCGACGGGATGTGCAGGTACTGCAGGATTTCTTTGTACAGTATATTATGATCAGAGAAGTTTAAATGTTTACATGTTTACATGTAGCCTGAAGTTTGCAATGTCTTCTCAATCGAATTTGACTGGGAATAAAGTGATATTAACGAAATGTCTACTATCATATATAGTAGAATCACCGTCCGATATCTTTATCAACAGCGCTATCTCATGTTGCGTGGTAAATGCCATATTCTTCATCATGGGATGCGTATTGAATTCTTTGGTGGTCGTGATCTACTCAATGTCGAAGCAGCTTCGTGAAAAATTAACATTCCTACCAGTGCTGGTGTTATGCTCTGTGGATTTGGTCACGGTGACTTTGGTGCATCCATTATTCTTATTGCAAACGATTGCCGAAGTGCTTGGTTCTCCGAAATGTCTGTACAAGGTTGTCTTTTTCTCGGCATTGTACGTATTCCCTATCATGTCAGGCTTGACGTTGGTAATCATGAATGTCGAAAGATATTTAGCTATCGTGCGGCCATTGTGGTACTTACAAATTGAAAACAAAAAGAAAAAATTCATGTTTGCATGTACGTTTGCCTGGTTCTTAGCCGTGGCCAACTTTGCGTGTCGGGTATACAAACCACGGTACTCACAAGCACTTACAATGGTTTGTGTCATCATCTCTTGTCTAATAACTCTTTTTGTTTACTCTTCGATATTTCGTGTCGCGTGGAAGCGTCGTTCGTGGAGACGTTCCGAAGAAATGATCGGGGATTTTGCACAAGATATCAACAGAAATCGAATAAACTTCATTCACAACTTAAAAATAGCAAAAATATATTTCATAGTAGTGGTACTATCGTTTATATGCTTTCTTCCGGTCAGCATCGTAGTGTATGCGGTAAAGTATCCATTGCAGGAAAACGAAGCCAGGCGTTTACAAATGGCACAAGTTTATATGTGGACAAACACTTTCTTGTGCATGAACTCTACGCTCAATTGTCTCGTGTTTTTCTGGGCGAACGCGAGACTAAGAAAGGAAGCCTGGACGATATGGCGACGATTCTTTCCTTCTGAACAAGTCACTTTGAACACGGGCGACTGAACGCTTAGTGCAACTGGTTCGACCCAAATCCAAGCATCGGAAAGTATACCAATTTTGGTACATGTAAAGAGAACAAACCTAACGTTGAAAGCGGCCAATTTGAAAAAACATGACAACTAACCAAACATCAATGATCAATCATCAAAGTATCGATAGTGCTTTTAAACTTAAGTACTTATTTAGTTTTAGTTATGATTGTCACGACATGAGGTCAACTATGACTTCTCAAGATGGGTATACAATATGATTATAATAAACGTTTCACGGGTCATTACATGAATATGACATTAATCTCCACTGACTTCCTTAACAGAATATGCTGCTGTTATTAGGTCATGAGCAACTTGTCAAAATACACTTTTAAAGTAATTTCATAAATTTTGTTAAATATTTTACGCGTTTTTTCCACCAAAGTAAGCTAGGGAGAAGCTCTGTACCCTAAATATAGCTATATAGGCCTGAATAAGCAAAAAATGAAGAAGAATTAAAGCTAGTCGATAATATAATTCGTCTCGTAGTACTTTTCAATCTAAGGTAGAGAGGCAATAGCCAGTGTCGGATCCTTTGAGAATAAAAAATCAGGAAAGTTTCCAAGTAAAAAAAATTCTTCGCAAGGTATTGTTCTTATTTCATAAAAGTATGATATAAGTTAGGTCTCTTCTACACTTCAAATTTCAGTCGCGTTGAATGAAGCTGAGATAATGAGATAACCAATCTTTATATATGCATTCTTTCAATACATGCAAAGTACTAAATATGTGATGGTTGTCCAATACTGTTGCAAGCATACGGGTCGTTCGTTTCGTAAAATTTTTTATACGGATGGTAAAGTGGTTTAGGCATTTCTATTCGTTAGAAGTAAGCAGCCATTCGTACCATTGGTGTCGAATGGACTGTTCGTTTACGATCCGTAAACAAACTGTGTCGATTCGTAAATAGGGCATGATGTGTCTAGGACAGGGCTCTCAAAAGCTTGTCGATCCGTACCATTGGTATCGAATGGGCTGTTCGTTTACGATCCGTAAACAGAGTGTGTCAATTCGTAAATAGGGCATGATGTGTCTAGGATAGGGCTCTGAAAAAGTTGTCGATCCGTACCATTGGTGTCGAATGGACTGTTCGTTTACGATCCGTAAACAAACTGTTTCAATTCGTAAATATAGGGAAGATGTGTCTAGGATAGGCCTCTGAAAAGCTTGTCGATCCGTACCATTGGTATCAAATGGACTGTTCGTTTACGATCCGTAAACAAAGTGTGTCGATTCGTAAATAGGGCATGATGTGTCTAGGACAGGGCTCTCAAAAGCTTGTCGATCCGTACCATTGGTATCGAATGGACTGTTCGTTTACGATCCGTAAACAAACTGTGTCGATTCGTAAATAGGGCATGATGTGTCTAGGACAGGGCTCTCAAAAGCTTGTCGATCCGTACCATTGGTATCAAATGGACTGTTTGTTTACGATCCGTAAACAGAGTGTGTCGATTCGTAAATAGGGCATGATGTGTCTAGGATAGGGCTCTGAAAAAGTTGTCGATCCGTACCATTGGTGTCGAATGGACTGTTCGTTTACGATCCGTAAACAGACTGTGTCGATTTGTAAATATAGGGAAGATGTGTCTAGGGTAGGCGTCTGAAAAGTTTGTCGATCCGTACCATTGGTATCAAATGGACTGTTCGTTTACGATCCGTAAACAGAGTGTGTCGATTCGTAAATAGGGAAGATGTGTCTAGGACAGGGCTCTCAAAAGCTTCTCGATCCGTACCATTGGTATCGAATGGACTGTTCGTTTACGATCCGTAAACAAACTGTGTCGATTCGTAAATAGGGCATGATGTGTCTAGGACAAGCTTGTCGATCCGTACCATTGGTATCGAATGGACTGTTCGTTTACGATCCGTAAACAGAGTGTGTCGATTCGTAAATAGGGCATGATGTGTCTAGGACAGGGCTCTCAAAAGCTTGTCGATCCGTACCATTGGTATCAAATGGACTGTTTGTTTACGATCCGTAAACAGAGTGTGTCGATTCGTAAATAGGGCATGATGTGTCTAGGATAGGGCTCTGAAAAGGCATGATGTGTCTAGGACAGGGCTCTCAAAAGCTTGTCGATCCGTACCATTGGTATCAAATGGACTGTTTGTTTACGATCCGTAAACAGAGTGTGTCGATTCGTAAATAGGGCATGATGTGTCTAGGATAGGGCTCTGAAAAAGTTGTCGATCCGTACCATTGGTGTCGAATGGACTGTTCGTTTACGATCCGTAAACAGACTGTGTCGATTTGTAAATATAGGGAAGATGTGTCTAGGATAGGCCTCTGAAAAGTTTGTCGATCCGTACCATTGGTATCAAATGGACTGTTCGTTTACGATCCGTAAACAGACTGTGTCGATTTGTAAATATAGGGAAGATGTGTCTAGGGTAGGCGTCTGAAAAGTTTGACGATCCGTACCATTGGTATCAAATGGACTGTTCGTTTACGATCCGTAAACAGAGTGTGTCGATTCGTAAATAGGGAAGATGTGTCTAGGACAGGGCTCTCAAAAGCTCGTCGATCCGTACCATTGGTATCAAATGGACTGTTCGTTTACGATCCGTAAACAGAGTGTGTCGATTCGTAAATAGGGAAGATGTGTCTAGGACAGGGCTCTCAAAAGCTTGTCGATCCGTACCATTGGTATCGAATGGACTGTTCGTTTACGATCCGTAAACAAACTGTGTCGATTCGTAAATAGGGCATGATGTGTCTAGGACAGGGCTCTCAAAAGCTTGTCGATCCGTACCATTGGTATCAAATGGACTGTTTGTTTACGATCCGTAAACAGAGTGTGTCGATTCGTAAATAGGGCATGATGTGTCTAGGATAGGGCTCTGAAAAAGTTGTCGATCCGTACCATTGGTGTCGAATGGACTGTTCGTTTACGATCCGTAAACAGACTGTGTCGATTTGTAAATATAGGGAAGATGTGTCTAGGATAGGCCTCTGAAAAGTTTGTCGATCCGTACCATTGGTATCAAATGGACTGTTCGTTTACGATCCGTAAACAGAGTGTGTCGATTCGTAAATAGGGAAGATGTGTCTAGACAGGGCTCTCAAAAGCTTGTCGATCCGTACCATTGGTATCGAATGGACTGTTCGTTTACGATCCGTAAACAAACTGTGTCGATTCGTAAATAGGGCATGATGTGTCTAGGACAGGGCTCTCAAAGCTTGTCGATCCGTACCATTGGTATCAAATGGACTGTTTGTTTACGATCCGTAAACAGAGTGTGTCGATTCGTAAATAGGGCATGATGTGTCTAGGATAGGGCTCTAAAAAGTTGTCGATCCGTACCATTGGTGTCGAATGGACTGTTCGTTTACGATCCGTAAACAGACTGTGTCGATTTGTAAATATAGGGAAGATGTGTCTAGGATAGGCCTCTGAAAAGTTTGTCGATCCGTACCATTGGTATCAAATGGACTGTTCGTTTACGATCCGTAAACAGAGTGTGTCGATTCGTAAATAGGGAAGATGTGTCTAGGACAGGGCTCTCAAAAGCTTGTCGATCCGTACCATTGGTATCAAATGGACTGTTCGTTTACGATCCGTAAACAGAGTGTGTCGATTCGTAAATAGGGAAGATGTGTCTAGGACAGGGCTCTCAAAAGCTTGTCGATCCGTACCATTGGTATCGAATGGACTCGTTTACGATCCGTAAACAGGTGTGTCGATTCGTAAATAGGGCATGATGTGTCTAGGATAGGGCTCTGAAAAAGTTGTGGATCCGTACCATTGGTGTCGAATGGACTGTTCGTTTACGATCCGTAAACAAACTGTTTCAATTCGTAAATATAGGGAAGATGTGTCTAGGATAGGCCTCTGAAAAGCTTGTCGATCCGTACCATTGGTATCAAATGGACTGTTTGTTTACGATCCGTAAACAGAGTGTGTCGATTCGTAAATAGGGCATGATGTGTCTAGGATAGGGCTCTGAAAAAGTTGTCGATCCGTACCATTGGTGTCGAATGGACTCTTCGTTTACGATCCGTAAACAGACTGTGTCGATTTGTAAATATAGGGAACATGTGTCTAGGATAGGCCTCTGAAAGGTTTGTCGATCCGTACCATTGGTATCAAATGGACTGTTCGTTTACGATCCGTAAACAGAGTGTGTCGATTCGTAAATAGGGAAGATGTGTCTAGGACAGGGCTCTCAAAAGCTTGTCGATCCGTACCATTGGTATCGAATGGACTGTTCGTTTACGATCCGTAAACAAACTGTGTCGATTCGTAAATAGGCATGATGTGTCTAGGACAGGGCTCTCAAAAGCTTGTCGATCCGTACCATTGGTATCAAATGGACTGCTTGTTTACGATCCGTAAACAGAGTGTGTCGATTCGTAAATAGGGCATGATGTGTCTAGGATAGGGCTCTGAAAAAGTTGTCGATCCGTACCATTGGTGTCGAATGGACTGTTCGTTTACGATCCGTAAACAGACTGTGTCGATTTGTAAATATAGGGAAGATGTGTCTAGGGTAGGCCTCTGAAAAGTTTGTCGATCCGTACCATTGGTATCAAATAGACTGTTCGTTTACGATCCGTAAACAGAGTGTGTCGATTCGTAAATAGGGAAGATGTGTCTAGGACAGGGCTCTCAAAAGCTTGTCGATCCGTACCATTGGTATCGAATGGACTGTTCGTTTACGATCCGTAAACAAACTGTGTCGATTCGTAAATAGGGCATGATGTGTCTAGGACAGGGTTCTCAAAAGCTTGTCGATCCGTACCATTGGTATCGAATGGACTGTTCGTTTACGATCCGTAAACAGAGTGTGTCGATTCGTAAATAGGGCATGATGTTTCTAGGATAGGGCTATGAAAAAGTTGTTGATCCGTACCATTGGTGTCGAATGGACTGTTCGTTTACGATCCGTAAACAGACTGTTTCAATTCGTAAATATAGGGAAGATGTGTCTAGGATAGGCCTCTGAAAAGCTTGTCGATCCGTACCATTGGTATCAAATGGACTGTTCGTTTACGATCCGTAAACAGATTTTTGTCCATTTGTAAATGAAGTAATTTAACACCATGCGAGTGATGCGACTAAGGTTTGTCCCCGAAAAGGTGTCGATCGAAAACAATTTGTGATAAAGATACGTTTAAATTAACGCTGTTCCTTTTCAGTAACGGCTGCCCTCCTTATGTCATTTTCGAATGGATTGTTTCGTCGCTATAGTAGCTACATATAACAAGTCTATTTTAATATCGTAGCTAGAGATTTGCCAGGCGGAAAACGAGTTCTTATGATAAATATGAGAGCCCAACATAATTATAAAATCATGAAAGCCATCAAAACAATTCAGAGTTTAAAAAAATACATTTCTAACGTTTTGTCTTTAAATTAAAGACATCTCTATTTTATTAATACATATCTTGTGAAGTTGTGTGCTATATATAATGCATTAACATTTTGCGGATTTTAATAACAACGCGTGTTATAT